TCTTCTTCTTCTTCTTCTTCTTCTTCTCCTTCTCCTCCTCCTCCTCCTCCTCCTCCTCCTCCTCCTCCTCCTCCGTCTTCTTCTTCTTCTTCTTCTTCTTCTTCTTCTTCTCCTCCTCCTCCTCCTCCTCCTCCTCCTCCGTCTTCTTCTTCTTCTACTCCTTCTTATTTTCTTTTTCTTCTCCTTTTTTCCCCTACTTTTGCACACTTAAAATTTCCTTGTAACTATTTCTTTATAATTACAATTTTAAAAATATATACAAATAATTGTTAAATAAAATTGAAATCGATGTTGAAAACAAAGTTAATCGATTATTCTTTGCTCTAAAAAAAAAAAAAAAATATATATATATATATATATATATATATATATATTGAAGGATGAAGGATGAAGCCACTGTAACTGTAAATTAAACTAAATAAAATCAAATTAAAAAATATATTTGCATATTCAAAACTAAAAATGTGTTTTGATTAAACATTTATTGAAACTTGAATTTAGTCGTGAATGAATCCAATCAGTAGTTTAACCGTACTTTTTGTAGACGATTAAATTATATTAACAAATTTGTTTCTAAACCCAATTAGTAAAACAAGCACTGGGCACCAGTGCAGATTTTTTCTTAAGCTCGTTGCTAGTTGTTTGTATTCGAGCTATCAATTAAGGATCATCTCCAGTCCTGGTTAAAAAAAAAAAAAAATTCTCACAGAATCAAACGAAACTTACACTGAATGTTTAAGATTACAAATAAATGACATGAGCCAAACAATTTTGGAAAAAAAAATGTCTACTGGTTGAGCAATGAGCATATAAAGACAGTAGTACTTGCCCCGACACCATGTGTGTTGTTCCATATATAGCTTTATGTGTACAGTGCTTGTTACTTTACCAAGACTCGGCCAAATTTATTATGATTTTGATGTCTCCAGAACCTTGCAGTGCACATCAATGATTACACGCTTACATGATCAACTGTTTCTGATCCATTACACACCTTTTCTTTCACAATGCAATTGCATTACCAGAACTCACCTTTATCTTTAAGGATTTGTATGTATTAATGGGAGTCACTCGTCAATTTTTGTATGCAGAAGGTCATAATTCGCCGACACCAGACTTGGTGGATAATAATCAAATATTAATCGACTACGAGGTTAATATTTGTTTTATGTCCCATATCGACAATAAGGTCTATTTAAAGTGAATTTTACATAATTAAAAGAACTGATTCTGCAGACAGTTTAGCTTCAGCTAGATTTTACAAAGCACAACATGCATACGCGCTCATTTGACATTGACATTTCGCGTAACCTACTTTGCTATGCGCTATATGCTAATTCAATGGGCAAGTGGGGGCAGCAGACCAATCAGATTGCAAGATTCTTCTCCTTCTTCTTTTTCTTCTCCTTTTTCTTCTCCCCTACCTTTGCACAATAATAATTTCCTTGTAACTTTTTCTTAATAATTACAATTAAAACAAATATATACAAATAATTTTAAAATACAATTGAGATCGATCTTGAACGAAAAGTTAATCGATTAGTCTAACGCTTATAAAAAAAACACATAATGAATGATAAACAATCATAAACCCGCTGTAAATTAAACTAAATGTCAATAAAAATAAAAAAAAACAATACATTAACATTATTAGATTAAATAATATGTATTAATTAAACATTTATTGAACTTTATATCTAGTTGTGAATGAATCCATTCAGCAATATAATCGTATTTTTTGTAGACAATTAAATTTTATGAATACATTTGTTTCACCACCACAGCAATCGAGGAGCCAATCATGCGGCTCTAACTGTCTTCGCTTTAGACAGTACTCTCTCTTTTTGTAAGGCTCGCTGCAATTTAGTGCATCGAGCCATTATTTGAATACTTTTATTCACTGAAACCCCTTTCACACCGGATCTGCGTAGAGTTGCGTAGAAATACGTACCGACTACGCCGAAGTTAGGCCGCGTATTCATGAACAAAATGATGCTTCGGCGTAGTCCATGCGTGGGTTATGCGTAGGCGGGCGTACGGTGGCGTACCGTTATGTATCCTGTGCGTAGGCACCGCGTACATACGTAGGGTTGGAATTACTCATTTCGATCAAACAAAATGATATTACAAACATAAAAACAGGACTACAATCAAACAAAATTATATTACAAACATAAAAACAGTACCACAAACGTACACACAAGCAAATAGATACAGATTTCCAAAAAACATAATAACATTTCGCATGAGGCTTCCGTTTGTGAATCTTATCTTTTTATTTTCTTTTTTTCAACAGCCTGAGATGTAAAAATCAGAAATTGAATAAACCATAACAAAAACAAATCGTGTCAGTCAGATTTACCTTGTAATATTAAGAATACAAAATAAAGTCAAAGAAACACTTTTACTTCATGAAAAGGATAAATCTTTTTCCTTCTCTTTCTTCTTCTTCTTCTTCTTCTTCTTCTTCTTCTCCTTCTTCTTTTTCTTCTTCTCCTTTCTTCTCCTACCTGTGCACACTAATAATTTCCTTATAACTATTTCTTAATAATTACAATTTAAACAAATATATACAAATTATTTTAAAATAAAATTGAAATCGATGTTGAAAACAAAGCTAATCGATTAGTCCATTCCTTAAACAAAAAAAGCAACATAATGAAGGATAAACTGACTGTAAATTAAACTAAATATCATTTTTAAAAATATCAAATAACATTTGTACAATTAAAATTAATAATGTGTATTATTAAAACATTTATCTAAACTAAACTTTAGTTTTGAATGAAACCAATCAGTTGTTTAACCGTATTTTTGATAAGACAATTGAATTATATTAATATTTTTATTAGTTAAGGAACCTACCTGTAGATGGCGCTATTTGGCATACAGCCTTTGGCTATGCCAGCGTCTTGTTTTTTAAGAGCTCTCTACGAATCGTTCGGATCGCGTAGTCGAGCTAATATTTCAATTCAAAATTCAGTTTGCATAAATATATATCAGTTGATGCTAGATGGGACAAACCTCCTGGCTTATCCTACCAATCAATACGTAACACATGCATTTTGCATTATGACAATTGAAATGTGAAGAATTTTTTTTTTTTTTTTTTGCTCCAAAAAATTTAAAAATCGTGCAGTACACACCACCACTTATATGCCACAAGATCAAATTTTCTGATCTATTCCACACCGTTTCTTTCACAATGCAATCGCATGACCAGAACTCAACTTTATCTTTAAAGCCCTTCTGGATCTCAGTACCTGAATTGCACAAACACATCATTCATCCATCAACCACTCACAAGCCATGATTTGAAATCAAACGTCTTCTTGACACTAAACTATCTTGCTTTCTATGTACATTTTATTCTCATTCTCAGGCGGTTTATTCATTCACGTTACATACACTAGAAAATATGATACAGACGTTACATTTACAATGTATTCATTATCTTTCATTAATTGATGGAAATTATCATCTTTAGGAGTAAATTTTCTCTTTTTGTTACTTCTTATAAGTTATACTAAGAATAAGCAACCAAATACAAGAATTGAAAGAAAAAATGTGATAGAAAATAAGAAAATGCATGATTTCACCATCTAAACTGCATATATCATCAAATTTTGCAAAATAATGTGATTTATGTATGACCAAACATCAGCTTTGTAGATATATTCAATAATCTAATGATTTTTTTAATTTTTCATTAAACCACCAAACCCAGGCAGATACTGAATACTGGGGTGTAATGTCAGGCAATATTCCATTTCATTCCAACACACAAAATGACTAGAATGTGACCTTTTTCAAAACGTATGACTCAGGAGGATAGTTTCTTTTTTCAGGACCTGTAATAATATGCTATCCATAAAATACTTTAAGAAGTGCCCATACGGAGAAGGTGCTAAGGAGAAACACTAAAATTTATGATATTTTTCTAAATGACAAACGGGAGAATAGTCCATGTCCACATTACAAACGGGAGAATAGTCCATGTCCACATTACAAACGGGAGAATAGTCCATGTCCACATTACAAACGGGAGAATAGTCCATGTTCACATCACAATCCACTGGGAAAAGTGCCAATTTGAGATTCCCATAGCAATAGTGATGTCATATTTCAAACATTCATAACTCTTAAGTTAATATTGGTCTGATATATTTCAAACTTTTGCCACTCAGTTTCTCTTATTTTTGTGCTTACAGTATGTTTTAACTAGATAGAACTTCGACTGCGCGCAGTCGAAAATGATGCCTCCACCATGGAGCGATTTCAGAAACCAAAACAGGAGCAATTTTTCAAATTCAAGTTTAATTGTAATCCATTAACAGGTTCTCAGAATATCATGATTACAAGCTATTTTTCATATACACCTAATGACCCTAAAATCTAATCATTGGCTTTGCAAGATACATACATGTCTTGAGTTTGATGGTAATCCATCCATTGGTTCTAATGATGTGATCACAAGCTATTTATGCATACATAATGAGCCCTGTGGGCTTTGACCTCGTGACACCAAAATCCAATCAATTTATTAGCTCTGCAAGATACATACTAAGTTTGGCAGAAATCACGAGATCGGGACATATGTACGGACGGACCGACGGACCGACAACCCGAAAACATAATGCCTCTGGCTACTTTGTAACGGAGGCATAAAAAAGCTGGGACGTCAGTTAACTGGTAGTTTTATTCCATAGGCTGATAAAACCCCTATCCATGTCCATACACCATCACAATAATGTTCTGAACAACATGAAGCAGATTTGTTCATAAAAAAAGGGTTTATGTTCAGCATGATATCTGATGTTTTTCTGTGAGCGATGGTGATCATTTTTGTCAAGATCTGTCCAGCTTATAGTGCTTACAGCATGTCTTTAAAAGCTGGAATGTCAGTTACCAGTAGTTTCACTCTATAGCACGATGAAAGGCTGCAGATTTTTGCTCAAACGTGTTCATATGGCCTATAGGAAGACTCATATCCATGTCCATAAACCATCAAAATAAGGATTTTTTAGCGTGATATCTGCTGTTTTCTGTGAGCGATGGCGATCATTTCTGTCGATACCCATGTCCATAAACTTTTAAACCATCAAAATAAGGATTGTTTAGCGTGATATCTGCTGTTTTCTGTGAGCGATGGCGATCATTTCTTTCGAGATCTGTCCAGCGTAGTGCTGATATTCCTCCAGCCTGCCATTCAGGAGATTGTGAAGCTGAAGAAGAAAAAAATTATAGAAATGAGATTACATTTTTGGTCTACAAGTATCCAGTTCTAAATCGATTTATAAGTGTTACCTCTATGTACACGGGAAACTCAATATAACGACGATGACGGTTATAACGAGGATATTGTCATGGGCCCAAATCAATTTACGGGTAACTTTATGGTGGCAAAAACCTCTTACGAGGCAAAATAAGAATTACCGTCCATTTTGTATAATTTTTATACAAAATATTTCAGAAAAACAGTAATCTAGGGTTCAATACATTAGCTTGAAGGCCTAAAGATAGGGATTATTCCTCCAAAATAGGAATGGTTGGCAGCTATGACAATACCTATGACACTACTAAAACAGATGGGCTAAAGATAAAATGGTAATGACTTCTGGTAATGATAGAAAGTAATTTGTCACAGAATCCAACAAAACTTAAACTGAATATTCAAGATTACAAATAAATGACATGTTGCAAATGATTTTGGTAGAAAATGTATGGAGGCTGATTAATGAACATAGAAAGATAAGGAAATCAAGGTACGAAGGCCCAAAATCATGTGCTTAACACAGGTCACCATGTGCAAATGAGAGTTGTGGTTTTTATTGAAGATGATTTCCAGCAAGTGGTTCAAACAATAAATCTCTTAATAAATAATCCAGAATGAATCATAGCCATGTTCTCTCAACATATGATGCCCATACCAGAGCTCAAGATTGATTCAAATGATTTTATTTCTCATTCAAAACATAATACAATAAATAAGTATATTACAAAAATATACAATGAAACAGCAAATATAATAGAATAGCATGAGAAAAAATGAACTAACTAGAAGCAGATCTTGTTGAAGTATTTGTTCCTCAGATGCTGTTTTGCAATATATCTTGAACAAAGTATACTTAGAAAATCAATATATTAAACAATATGTAGCAAAGAAATTAACTGACCCGTATGAGTTCTGGATCGTTCCTGGTCTCCTTCAGGGCCTTGAGGAGATGGTCTAGCTGCTGGTAGGGAAGCCATACACTGGGAGACGTGGGGCGGATCGGGTTCTGAAACAAAGACAGTCAAACATCAACATTTAGGTATGTAGCAAATTTAGCGAAATGCAGTACATGTATTTACCAGCTCCATGTCTTAATCGTGCAAGTCTTAATCTGTGTCATAAAATCACAATTTCCAACAATTATGCATTTTGCGTTCCTGACGCCTTGTTCTGTGCAACTAAATTTTCGCTAAAATACCTTACAATAAAGAAAAATTTGTTTTGGTTAGGGTGATCATAACATGTAGTTATAGCAACTCTGGTTACTATATCAAGGCAGCAGACAGCAAGGACCTATGCAAAGAATCGCTTGGCTTGAGGAAGTTCATAGGAACAGACGAAAGCTTGCCTACAAAATTAAAATGTTTGTTTTACAGCATCATATCTGAATGAGCCTTTAAAAGCCTTTTCAAACTAATTTTAAGGGTGGTATTTCAAAAATAATTTTTGTAGGGAATGAAATTCAAGCTGTGGCTTATTTTCGAACCTGTACAACCACAATTCATACCTGTCACTTCATTTGAAGCAATTTCAAAATGCAAATCTGCAACTGATTTGCAAACCTGTTCAATCAAAATTCAAACCCGTTGCTGATTTTCAAACCTATTCAATCAAAATTCAAATCTGGTGCTGTTACATATTTAAACCCCTTGTGGGCCACCCTGATGTTTCAATTCTAAGAAAACAATGGTTAAAAGATACCTACCTTGAGGCCAAAGTACTCCACTCCTTTGCCGAGGATCGCATCAATGAACTCGATGCCTAAATTGGCAGCTTCTTCCAAAAGGTCAAAGGTTATGTAGAGCAGCAACAGGTTGCCAGGGTCAAGTTTCTAAGAAATGAAATAAAAAATAACGAATAAAAGCTGAAATACATTTTACAGCAAAACAAATAGATCATTGCTTGCAAGATCTTATGATATCAAAGGTTGGTGAGGAACAAAAGGAAATGATAAATCAAAGTTTGTTGACCCAAAGCTCCTTACGGTAATACAATAAGGTAGGCCAGTATTGTTGTTGCAATCATCATCCCATCATTCTTATGGACATCGTCATCAATATCACGATCATCTTCATCATCATTATATCCCCATGAACATCACTATCATCACCAATATCATGATGGAAAGTGGAAAGTGATTTTTATGCTATGTTATTCTGTGCATAATTAATACATTGAAATTGAATTGGAATTTAATTGAATTGATAATCAGTGCCATCATCCGCGTCATCCTGATGAACATCACTATCATCACCATCTTCATAACCAACACCGCTACCACCATCACCATCATCATCATCATCAATATCATCATAATCACCACCATCATCATCACCACTACCACCATCATCATCATCATCATCATCACCACCACCACCATTACCATCATCATCATCACCATCATCACCATCATCATCACCACCATCATCACCATCACCATCATCATCACCACCACCACCACCACCACCACCACCACCACCACCACCACCACCACCACCACCATCATCACCACTACCATCACCACTACCATCACCACCACCACTACCACCATCATCACCACCATCATCACCACTACCATCACCATCACCACTACCACCATCATCACCATCACCGCCATCATCACCACCACCATCCTCATCACTGCCACCATAATCACACCCTACCTTGTATGAGTTGATGATCCACTGTGGTAGCTGGAAGCCTAGAGAAAGTAGTTTCTTGATCACTGTCTTGAAGTGCAGATGATCTCCCTTCTGGTCGTACCTCTCTAGATACGTCTGAAGAAGGTGCCAGGCTAACTCAGCAGCTCTATATAAACAAGAAACAATTATAATAATAATGTATCATTCTTGTATAGCGCATATCACATTTAATCCTCTCCACGCATCTACAAACGACATTGTTTGATTTTGATTTTATTTACTTCTGAATTTTACTGGGAATTTTTTTTTGCCACTTATTCGTGATAACGATTGGTTTTTTGCCATTCTTTGTTGAACATGAATGTAAAATAAACTTTTGAGAAATAAACCTCACAGATTCATTAGCCCAATACATCACAAATAATGCAAACATTATAATGAAAGGACATTTGTAACATGATCTAATAATAATATGTCTTGTTTACCCAGGGTAACCTCATCAGTATTCATACTTGGCCCTGCAATCGTGTCATTATATTATCCCGGCTTTAGCCGCGGTACCATGAGAAGGCGCTCAAGCATTCTAGGAATTGCCTAATTGCCTAACCTAATTGTAAGCTATTAACGATGCCCTGAAGTACATTTCTCAAAAGGCTTTGTGATTAAGTTTGTGGCACAGAGATATAAAGAGAGACAAGTAGAGTGGTTTTGAGAGGCAGGTGGTCATTATGTGGAGGTTCAATAAGTATACGTTTCAATGAAAAACACTTTTCAAAGGAAACAGAAAATGTGGTCTTTATAGACAGACAGTCTTTCTATACAGGTGGTCGCTAAAGCAAGTTTGACTGTACTTACGTAGCTTCTCGGCCCAGGTTGAGGGAGCCGATGTCATTAGCGGCCAGCCACTTCCAGGTCTCGCTGTCAGCCCCATTACGGGATAGTTTCACACATCTAAAAGAGAATCATAACATACAATCAGAACGTAGGCAATCAGTGGTGAGAGCAAGAGAGAGAGAGAGATACAGGCACACATACAGAGACAGAGAGAGAAAGAGAGAGAGGGAGTGAGAGAGAGAAAGAGAGAGAAAAAGAAGAAGAAGAAGAAGAAGAGAGAGAAGAAGAAGAAAAAGAAAAGGAAAGAGATGATGATAATGATGGAGTGCAAGGGGAAGAGAAATCATGAAAATAAAATATGGAATGATAAGAAAGTCAAAGATTAAAAGACATGAAAAGAAAAATCAGGAAAAAACTACTTTGTACCGTCACTATTTCAATCATCACTATCATTATCATCCCATGACCATCATCATCATCACCACCACCATCATCACCACCATCATCATCATCATCACCATCACCATCACCATCGACATCACCATCACCATCACCATCACCATCACCACCACCACCATCACCACCATCACCACCACCATCATCACCATCACCATCATCACCATCACCACCACCATCATCATCACCACCATCATCATCACCACCACCATCATCATCACCACCACCATCACCATCACCATCACCATCATCACCATCACCATCATCATCACCACCATCATCATCACCACCACCATCACCATCATCACCACCATCACAACCACCACCACCACCACCACCACCACCACCACCACCACCACCACCACCACCACCACCACCACCACCACCACCACCACCACCACCACCACCACCACCACCACCACCACCACCACCACCACCACCACCACCACCACCACCACCACCACCACCACCACCACCACCACCACCACCACCACCACCCTCAGAGCATCTTACCTATGAGCCAGGTTCTCGAACACGGGAGTAAGAGGCAATCTGAATGTCCTGCAGACATCGATAGCTGTGTCATATAGGCCACTCTGAACCAAGAAACTCACTGTTTCATCAACCGACATCCGAGATGCTGTATGATAATGAAATAGCAATTCAATGAAACACTTGAACACTTGTTGTAAAAAATTTGGCTTGCAACAAATAGATAAAGATTGCATGCTTGATCTTGTAATTGAAAACAAGTCAGTACAAATCTTGGAACCAGCGGGATTTTAACCGGCCTTTTATTGCTTGCCGGGCAGCGACTCTACCACCAGGCCATCACTGGTCCATGGCACAGTCACAATGAACTAGAAACAAATACCTCTTATTAATATTCATCAATCCGCCATTAGGATAATAGTTTTGAACGTGAGGCTCCCTAGGAGAAGTTTCAATTGTTGTAACGGATCATGTTTCAAAATCGTAAAAAAAAAAATGTCTACCAGTAGTTTCTTTCAGCTCCTCATACAAATTTTCATTTTCACATAAGTGATACAATCGACCAATAAGAAGGAAGCTTACTTGTCACATGAACCATATCAGGCTGGTGATTGGCTAGTTTGAGCCTTGCGGACGTCAACTGATACTCTTTCTCCAAGTCCCCTAGCTCCAGAACGTCAACTCGGCGCCTCGGAACTAACAAAAGATTTAAATAGCCACCATTATCATCCAAGTTTAATATTTGCCCTGTAGAGTTTATTGCATTTGGTCTTCAACTTATTTAATCATAAATAATGATAATCATCAATCGATTATTAGACCTTATTATATCTAGTCGCCTAATCAAATATGCTGGAATGCTCCCCAGGAGTGGAGAGTACTGAATCCAATGACCGGGGTAATAGTATATCGGTAAAGCACTTAGATACATCCGAGAATTTCAGCTGAATGAAATCAACATCGTATATGATATTGTTACGAATGTTAACTTTTATTATTCATGACCATGTAAATGGATGAACATGCACAGTATGAGGAGGTGAAGGAGAGATTCAATCACAGGTAAAACTTTGGAGTTTGTTTGTTTTAATACTGTAGCTGTTTCAAGTATTTGTGGGAAATCAACCTACGGCAATTTCAATAGCCATGTGCACCACCTTCTGGAATGAGCAAACATTACCTAACTTAGGACCTTGCTGAATAATTTGATCTTGCTGAAAAATTACATGCACTGTACACGGAAACAGGTACATGGGACAATGAAAAGAAATGGCATGAAAGTTTGGTCCTAACATTACAGTGACACATTAAGTAATCTGAACATGATCTCTATGGGCAATCAGGGGGGCGTTTCACAAAACTTGTCATCAGTGACAAATGACAGTTCTTGTTATAAGCTACTGAAATCCTTGCTTCTGATTGGTTATCAGCAGATTTGTCACTGCTTTTTGTCATTTGTCATTGAAAAAAGTCTTTGTGAAACAGGCCCCTGATGGTGTATTGAAATTGGCCATGAGTTGATTTGTTGAAAGTCTTTGGAATTGTATTTATAGTTCTGCTTTTGCCACATCACCACAGAGAAAAGCTAAAAGGAAATGCTAGAATCTTCTTTTTCATTGTAACTTTCTGTGTCAAATGTATGTATCCATCATTTTGTACATTTGCTTATACTGTTTGATGCTTTGAGAAAAATTGAATAGAGAGTTTGTTAGAAAAAAATTAAAAAAGAAGAAATACCTGGTTCATCGAGAGGGGTGCCTTCATAGTCTCTCTTGGGCGATGCTCCATTCATGTCTTCAGTTTTCTGCCATGAGAAGGGGTAGATACCAGTCTTTGACATGGAATGTAAAGACAGCAAAAACACACCCCAAAAAAAGACACAAATGGCATCCTCATTGCTCATTGGATGTAGCTCAAATTTTGAATAAAAAAGACAGTTCTTTACACCTCAAACCAAACTTAAAATACACATTTTAAATTGATGATTGATGATGCTACACAATTGCGTTTAAAAGGGAGAGGGTTGTCAGTTTCCATGTGCAGAAGGCCATAATTCGCTGACACCAGACTTGGTTGAAATACCATTAATGGGTGTGTACTAGTCTGCACACAGCAAACCCTTAGGCCTATCAAGAAATACCCCCTAGTGTCTCAGAGTCTTTGGGTGAGGGAAAAAGTCAAAGTATTACACAAGGCCTGTTGGTCATAAAACTGAAGGCTAACCCTGGTGATTGACAACACCCGTTATTGGGTAAACACCTGAACAGTGTCCCGTTCCCCATGAGAGCTAGCTCCTATGCATCTTTAGAATCGCCTTGCTAAGTAAAGTAATTTCAATTCTTTCATCCGCGTCTATTTTTTTAGAATTTCTCAATTTGAACTTCCTTTTCCAAAAGAGCATAAAAAATAATGTCCAAATGTCAAAAACCAAACCAATTGAGATATGACCATCTGAATAAAAAGATTTCCTATAGGAACTCAGTCTTATTTTGCTCTGGTTCATAACATTACGGAAAATGAAGATCATATTGAGAAATGCTAAAATAGATTGTTATGATGTCACAGCTTCGGTACTCTACATTTCACCCTAACAAGTCTCACAGGTCTACTTACAACGCCCTCCATTTCGCTGACTGCAGGCTTGATAATCCAAGCATTGTCCGGATGCAGTAATCTGAGTGAGTTCATGGCGGCGAGGTAGCAGCACGCTTGTCTGTTCAGACTGTCCGCACCGATGACCTCTTGAGCGAGCCGGGTCGCTTGCTCGTACATCACGCTGCCAGCTGAGAGAGGAGAGGGGTAAGAACAACAACAAAAAGTTACACATAGATGCCTAGCAGGAAAAAATTCTTTGAAATGCTAGAGCACCGTAATGGCAGCACAGCTAAAGCCGGGGGTAATAATCTCGAAGTTTGAAGGCGATTAGTGATTTTAATAAGCGTTTTTATAAAAACTGAGTATTATTATTATTATCATTCTACATGATGGCTCAGTGGTAGAGCAGTGGTCTCATAACTGGGAGGTCCTGGGTTTGTCAATTAAATCCCAATGTGAATTACCAAGTCCCTCGGAGAGGCCTTAAAGCCGTCGGTCCCCTGGTTGCTATCTTACAAGCATACACATGCTTTCTTAGCAGTCAGGTAAAACAACAATCAAATGTTCTATTGGACCTATTGGAAAAGTCTTGAAGATGAAAAGTCTTGAAAAGCGGTCCAAAGTAAAAGAGAGAAAGAGAGAGAGAAAGAGAGAGAGAAAGAAACGGAGAGGAAAAGAGAGAAGGAGAGATAAATAACCTTGTGTGTAGTTTCATCTAATGTCATCAAATGTAAAGAGTATGTTGGTCAAAGCGAGAGACAGACAGAGACAGAAAAAGACAGAGACATAGTTACAGACAAAAACAGAAACAAAAAATATCTCACCCTGTCGATAGTTTCCTCTGATGGTATGAAAAGCAAAGAGTAGATCATAGTAGTTGATGGTCAGTAGATCCACAGACCTAGCTCTTGACTCTATGATGCTCACAATCTATACAAAACAAAAACAAAATGAATTCGATAATCACTAAATTGATATCTCCCCCAATTTCATTAATGGAATGATCTTACCTGTACCAAACTGCAACATTTTACATCAAATTGTAAACAATGGAGCTTTTACCTTGTCACTTTATATGCAAAATGTTATATATTCTCTACAAAATGAGAAAAAAATAGTTTTATTAAAATTCTTTCAAGAATATGCAATTTGTTCTTTGTATTAAAAACAATAAGTTTTTTTTATCAGTAGAAGATTTGACACATCGACAGCTGCTGTATTCATGTATGCTTTCACTACTATTTCATATTTGTTAAAATTCATTGAATTGCTTTTGTTTATGAATGATTAAATAAATAAAGTCTTTCGTTGAAAGAATATTTGTTACCTCATCATGAAGATCTATGTAGGGATATTGACAGAGCTGTTTCATCTGTTTCTGTTCACATAACACCACTACAAACTGACGTAAACAGTCCCTCCGTCTGTAGCATAAACAAAACAAGACATCACAAACAACTATTAAGTCTTTTTCATATACTTAACAAAAAATGACAAAACTTAGTAAAGGGTATGAATAATTTAGTCGTTAATTGTACATAGACAGAACAAAAATTAAAGCAATGTTGGCATTTGCATACTTCCATCGACAAAAGGTATTATATTTTTAATTTTATTAATTTCTCTACTTTCTTTAGTCATTTCTCTTGGGGTTTGGATGTTGGTATGCCGAAACAAAATGCTCAAAACAATAGAAATGTAAAATGTACAATGCAATATTTCTTCTCCAAGTCAAACTTTGATTGTAACAATAATCAAACTGATGATTCAGCTACAAGCATCATTTCTGGGTTTTACAAAGATCAAATTTGATGAAACATTTAGGTTGATGAATGCAAATATAAATAGACCCAGTAAATAAATAGTTTGGTTAGGACACAGGTGGCATTAGAAAAATACAGTCAATAAGTCAATATAGTTAACTCTCCATGGTCCCAATCTGTTGGGACCCCAAATAATACGTTTTTTGAATAGTTTGGTCCAAAATGAGGCAAATTGGACTTGTGAGACTTTGAGTTATGCAGAATTGACTGTATTTTGGGTTGACCTTTGACCTCTCACCTTTCAGGGTCGGGGTTAGAGGTCATAGCTGAGTAGGCCTCATCGTTGTGACACAGCTCTAGATGGTACTTGAAGATTTTCACCCAAAGAGTCGGCTGTAAAAACAAAATTATTTTTTTTAAAAGAAAAAAAATTATTATCCATTTTGGTAAGCTTTCTTTCGCTTGCGATGCTTGCAAGCTTCTCCAGGCCTTTGTATTTTTTCCACTGATTGTGAAGAAAGAGATTTTTACAGCTGATTTGTAGGAAGGTAAATGGTTGAATGGTGACTGTTACCCAAAGTGAAGGCTGTGAAACTTGAAGCAAGCACTTAAAAATAGATAAGTCACATTTGTGTTTCAATTATTGCATTTTTTTTTTAATTTTAATTTTTTAATTTTTTTACATATAACTGTTTCACTGAAATTGGAATGTAGTATGTATTCACTTTTATACATTTAGATAAATAAAAGAATTTAGATAAACAAAAGAAAAATTACAACAAGGAAATTTAAAGATATATTTAAACAAGACTAATTTTAAACATATTATTAAAGTGAGAATACTAACAAAAACATGAACATGCAACAGATCTCTCCCCCAAAAAACAAAGACTAATAAAGTAGAAATTAAAAAGAAAATGAAAAAAAAGGAACATAGATAGAGATAGACTTCAAAAGAATGTAAGTTAAAAAATATGCAATGAAAGACAGTAATATTACCAAATTTGGGTCATCTATGTCAGCGGCGCTGAGGGCTGTTTTAGCCAGAGAGATTACAAGCTCTCTCAATTCAAACTGCTCTAACAGACCAATCACCTGTAAACAAGAAGAAAATGAAGCGAAAATTGAAGAATTTCGCAAGTTGTCCAGATAAAAAAAACATTTCATGCAAAACAGTGAGTGATTTACTACATCAAATTTCAGTTATTTGCAGATTTTTTTGTGCATGGGTCCGAAACATTAGTTTTTAACAATTAACAAAAATTAAAATTATTTTCCTTGGAGTTCTGTAGTCCTCACTAGCACGTTCAGAAGAAAATCTTCCGCACAGATTCTCAGACTAGCGTCCTGAAAACACAAGACACAATCCCACATCTCTTTCAAAATCAGTCATCTTTCTCTCAATCTTAAAAACCTCCTTCACTTCTCTTCTCAAAACAAACTAGATGGAACTTCGACTGCGCGCAGTCGAAATGATGCCTCCGTCATAGAGCAATTTACAAACCAAAACAGAAGAAATTTTTCAAATTCAAGTTCAATTGTAATCCATTAACAGGTTCTCAGAATATCGTGATTACAAGCAATTTCTCATATACATATATGACCCTTTGATCTTTGACCTCATGACCCTAACATCTACTCAGTTCATTGGCTCCGCAAGATGTCCCGAGTTAAATAGTAATCCATCTGTCAGTTCTAATGAGAATGCGTTCACAAGCTATTTCTGCATACATAATGAGCCCATGACCTTTGACCTTTGACCTCATGACCCAAGAATCTACTCAGTTCATTGGCTCTGCAAGATACATACATGATCTAAGTTTGGCAGGAATCCATCAATCTGTTCTAATGATAATGCGATCACAAGCTATTTTTGCATACATAATGAGCCACATGACCTTTGACCTTGACCTTATGACCCCAAAATCTAATCAGTTCATCGGCTCTGCAAGTAACATACATGACCTAAGTTTGGCAGGAATCCATCAATCGGTTCTTGAGATAACGCGATCACAAGCTGTTTTTGCATACATAATGAGCCCTGTGACCTTTGACCTTTGACCTCGTGACCCCAAAATCTAATCAGTTCATCGGCTCTGCAAGATACATACATGACCAAAGTTTGGCAGGAATCCATCAATCGGTTCTTCAGATAACGCGATCACGAGCTGTTTTTGCATACATAATGAGCCCTGTGACCTTTGACCTTTGACCTCGTGACCCCCAAATCTAATCAGTTCATCGGCTCTGCAAGATACATACATGACCAAAGTTTGGCAGGAATCCATCAATCGGTTCTTCAGATAACGCGATCACGAGAACGGGACGTACGGACGGACGGACGGACGTACGGACGTACGGACGTACGGACGGACGGACGGACGGACAACCCGAAAACATAATGCCTCCGGCTACTTCGTAACGGAGGCATAAAAATACCTTGAGGTGATAGAGAGTCTCAAGTTTCTTTCCCTGTAGTTCCGTGGTCCTGAGGAGCCTGTTCAGCAGGAAATCCTCGGCACCGATCCTCTGGCTGGCCTCCTGGAAGCACCCCAGGGCCTTGACGGGCTCACCGGTGTTGAGGTAGCAGTGAGCCAGGAGGAACTGACGGGACGCAGCGTTCCACTCGCACCACGGCGACAGGAGACGAATGTAACCCTGGGTAGAGAGAGGGACAAGAATTAGAGATGTGCATCTGGGCCCTGTTTTATAACTAGTTGATATCAATCGCATCTACGTGTATAAGAGATGGGCGATTGCCTTGGGGTTAATTTGGATCAAGGAGATTTGGATCAATCGCAAGTTATTTGTGATTTATATCATTCGCAACTACGTACATAGGAGATAGGCGACTGCAAACTTGCGATTAATTAGAGGCCTTAGAGTCGATTTGATGTGTGTGTGTGTAATTGGGATTTTACAGACGCGTATCAATCAGATATGATTATTTACGTCTGGGGACAGACCTTCAATGCCACCATCCAAAGATGTGACTCAGTTTCGAGCAGGGGTCGCCTGAGTCAGTTTGTAGGCAAAGACAGAGAGCTGGCCAAGTGAACGTGCCGCTAGACCAACTCACATCTTCCTGCATCTTATTTGCAGTTGATATCAATCGCAACTACGACATAAGAGATAGGAGATTACAAACTTGCGATTAATTAGAGACCTTGTGATTGATTTGGATCAATCGCAAATCTTTATGAGACAGGGCTTTGATGCAGTAATAACACATTTACAGTAGGACCTGACAACCATTAAATAGTTACAAGATTTTGAAAACATTGTTTTACCTGAAGTTGAGTATACTGGCACTTCATCATCAGGTACTCCGCAAACAGGAAGTTAGCACTGATTGGCCAACTGATCAGGGTCAAAGGTCAAGGAAATAACCTATCAACTGAGCTGGTGACATTTACATTCCCACTTCTTACAATCATATGTTTAAAGAAACAGGATTTATTGATTGTATGCAAATGTACCAACATACCTGTCTTTTCCTTTCTAAACTGAATAACACAGAAAAAACTAGATGGAACTTCGACTGCGCGCAGTCGAAAATGATGCCTCCGTCATAGAGCAATTTTACAAACCAAAACAGAAGAAATTTTTCGAATTCAAGTTCAATTGTAATCCATTAACAGGTTCTCAGAATATTGTGATTACAAGCTATTTTTGCATACATAATGAGCCCATGACCTTTGACCTTATGAACCAAGAATCTACTCAGTTCATTGGCTCTGCAAGAAACATACATGACCTAAGTTGGCAGGAATCCATCAATCGGTTCTTGAGATAACGCGATCACGAGCTGTTTTTGCATACATAATGTGCCCTGTGGCCTTTGACCTTTGACCTTGTGACCCCTACATCTAATCAGTTCATCGGCTCTGCAAGTAACATACATGACCTAAGTTTGGCAGCAATCCATCAATCGGTTCTTCAGATAACGCGATCACAAGCTCATTTTGCATACATAATGAGCCCTGTGGCCTTTGATCTTTGACCTTGTGACCTCAAAATCTAATCAGTTTTTCGGCTTTGCAAGTAACATACATGACCTAAGTTTGGCAGCAATCCATCAATCGGTTCTTCAGATAACGCGATCACGAGCTCGTTTTGCATACATAATGAGCCCTGTGACCTTTGACCTTTGACCTCGTGACCCCAAAATCTAATCAGTTCATCGGCTCTACAAGATACATACATGACCAAAGTTTGGCAGGAATCCATCAACCAGTTCTTCAGATAACGCGATCACGAGCTCGTTTTGCATACATAATGAGCCCTGTGACCTTCGACCTTTGACCTCGTGACCCCAAAATCTAATCAGTTCATCAGCTCTACAAGATACATACATGACCAAAGTTTGGCAGGAATCCATCAACCAGTTCTTCAGATAACGCGATCACGAGCTTGTTTTGCATACATAATGAGCCCTGTGACCTTTGACCTTTGACCTCGTAACCCCAAAATCTAATCAGTTCATCGGCTCTACAAGATACGTACATGACCAAAGTTTGGCAGGAATCCATCAACCAGTTCTTCAGATAACGCGATCACGAGAACGGGACGTACGTACGTACAGACGTACGTACGTACGTACGTACGGACGTACGGACGGACGGACAACCCGAAAACATAATGCCTCCGGCTACTTCGTAACGGAGGCATAAAAATGTATTTACCAAAAACACATCATGTATCATAAATTAATCAAATACCATGGTTGGAGGGGGTTTGCTTCCGTCTGAATACTAAGAAAGCATGTGTAATCTTGTAACTAAGCAACCAGGGGACCAATGGCTTTGAGCCCTCTCCAAGGGACTTATTAATGAGGATCAGTGCCACATGGTTGCCAAAGGGCACCAGTGCATCAAATTGGTTTTGACCCTATGACCTTCTGGTTACATGACCACTGCTCTACCACTGAGCATTTGTGCCTCCGTAGGAGGGTTCTTTTAGTAGATCTGGGGAGTGTTTCACAAAGACTAAGATCAACTTTAAGTTGGACTAAACTATGGCAGGCCGTTCAGGCCACCGTTTGCTCTCACCATTATGATCTTTAGATAATATTTTTTCCTTCAATAATGAACTATCAAAAAATGTAAATTCTGTAGATTTGCGACCACAAATTATACGTCCCTTGAGAGACCAATGCCAGTAAATGGTAAGAGCAAACAGTGGCATGAATTGCCTACGATAGTTAAGTCCAACTTAAGGTTCATCTTAGTCTTTGAGAAACACCCCCTGATATTCAACAAACATTTCGATTCCAATGTAAAAATCAAATGCACATAAGCAAAGGATACATCAACTGAGCAATCGCCTTCATCGCAGCGGGGTACAACTTTCCCCAGTTCTGCAGTCCCTCCGCTCTCCTGTTTGCCCTCTTGGCCAGAATGGAACGGACATAGCCCCCTCCACTCCCCTGCAGAAACAGCTCCACTAGGGTGGGTGAAGGTGGACTAGTCGATGATGAAGATGGGGAGGTCTGGCCCGTCAGGTGGGAGGGACTGTTGGTGGAGATTTCAAGCACTGCCATCTGTCTGAGATGGAATTCCCTAGAAAAAGAAAATGTTTAAAAAATCAGTGGAAAATAAACAAATTAGTATTCCTGATAATTCAGAAAATGCCCTTTTTGAAGGCTTCTTCACATAAGCCACTGGTTACGTTTTTATTTTATTTTTACTCTTTATTTTCATTTTACATTTTTGTATATTTTAACACAGAAAAGAGGATGGATAAGTCGATTTAAAACCTCTCGTATCAAAATTCAAACCTGTCGCTGTTAAATATTTATACCCCTCATGGATCACCCTAAAACAAAAACACAGAAATTGGCGAAGTATTTCATCTAAGGTGAAAAAATGAGTAAAAGTACTCATATTTATGACAAATGCATTGAACTGAATGCTTGCGCAGATCACAAAAAGCAAAGGTGCATGAACTTACACAGTCTTTGTTTGTACAGGGCTGGATATACATGTGGAGAGCCATACTAGAGAATGGTAGGCTTGCAGAATGGTGCATGTCTCTGGTATCACATCACAGGTTAACTTCTTGGTGCATTCAGCGGTCCATGGGAGCTGGAGATGGGATAAGAATGGTGAATTAGATACAATTAAATAAGACTGGTATCACATCACAGGTTAACTTCTTATTGCAATCAGCAGTCTATGGACACTGGAGATGGGATAAGAATGGTGAATTAGATACTATTTAAAAAGACTGGTACCCTTTCATTAAGAAATTACAGAGAAGAAAGAAAAACAAACAAGAAAGTGGTTACCTCTATTTCTTCATTTCCTTTTTCAACTTTTCTGATCTGCACACCCCCCCCCCCCCCCCCCCTCCTTTCCCCTTTCCTGGATCTGCCCCTACAGGAACATCCTAGTCTTTGTGACTAACCTGTGATTCTAGTCTCAGTATCAGACACTCGAGAACCAGAAGAATCTGCATGAATTCTAGCCTCAGTTGGGCGAACCTTGTGAAGCTAGCAGCCAGGCAGACCACAGACAGATCACTACTCAGAGTGTGGTGTGTGGGACCGTGGAGAACATCTGCACCTGAAAGTAACATGAATAATTTCTTTCATTAATTGTCATTTTAAATCAAATTAAAAAGTAGAGACAAAAAGGATATGGGGATATGGATTTTAGAATTTTAGAAGATGAAGGTGAATTTAAACAGAGAAAGAAAGATAGAGAGGGAGAGATAAACAAAAAGAGAGAGAAAGAGAGAAAGATAGAGAGAGAGCGCAAGACAGGGAGAGAGAGGAGAAGACCGAGAGATGGTGGTAGAGTGTGAAGAGAAAGAAGAGAGAAGGGAAATTGAATGAGAATCTAGCTGTTTTTACTTTCTGTAGACCTGTCTTCTCTCTCTCTCTCTCTCTCTCTCTCTCTCTCTCATATACTCTGTCTATGTCTCTTTACGTCTGTCTGTCTCTATCTATCTTTCTCTCTCTCCCTCTTTCTCACTCTAACTCTTACTCTCTGTCTCTCTGCCTCTCTATCTCTCACTTGCTGTATCTTTATATTTGTCTCTCTCTGTCTCTTCCTCTCCCTCTCTCTACTCACTCAGTTCAGCTAGCAGTCTGTCTGTCTCTGTCTCTGTCTGTCTCTCTCTCTCTCTCTCTCTTTCTTTCTCTATCTCTTTTTCTCTGTCTGTTTGTTCTCTCTCCCCCCCCCCCCCTCTCTCTCTCTCGCCCTCACTCTCTCTCTCTCTCTCTCTCTTTCTTTCTACTTACCCAGTTCAGCTAGCAGATTCCCTGGCTCGCCCCCTGCTACATCGACAAGATGCAGAACTGTTCGGAAGACTCCCGTTGGATCCATGATTCTACCGAGTGCTTGTGTAACCTGCTCCCGAACAGCCTGGTTTTGAGGACTAAACATAAATAAATAATATTACTATTAATAACTATAATAGTAGTTGCATTTGTCTTCTCTTGTTTATAGCTATTATTTAGTAGTCAGTAGATTTTATTATACTTATTTATGTTCATATTTTTCTCAGTTCTTTAGTTTAGTTTGTAAGCATTTTTAATGTATGCAGTATCCTTATCTGACGAGTTTGTTTATTTAGGACATACTTATAAGCTACACATGAGGGACCTTAATTCCACAAGCCTGACGTTTTATTGATGTCGCAAGGGACCAGCATCACATAAGACTTCATTGTTCTTTCTCCCGGTTTCCTCATTCGTATATATTTGTATTTTGTGTTTATATTTCATATGTTATTTGTATGTTCTTTACTTTATCTGTGAATATCAATTTTATAATTCTGTATGTTTTTATATGACGAATGGAACGAAATGAAATTGATTTTTCTGTATATATATATATATATATCGTCTGTATTTATATCGTCAGAGTGTCTGTGTATGTGTATTGGGTATTTACAGATGTCTATCAATCAGAAGGATCATGTATCAATTGGTCAGAATTATATCTTTTTCCTTTGTTTTAACATTTAAAATTTTGATAGTGGACCAGAATTATATGCATTGATATTACTGAATTTTTATTCTGATTGGGTGTAATTTGAAACAATGTTTTGGTATTTTATGTTGTATTTGCAGATCTACTTCTGCGCAGCGCCTTTCCGAGTACAGATGGATGCGGTACGAGAGTACCCCAAACCCCAAAATGTCTCAATTAAGGAATTGAAAAGGAGCCCCGTGAAGCGAAGAGCTTCAGTAAGGGGAGTTGTCACCCAGGTAATGACCAATGATTATCAAATGTGTTTAATATTTCATTTTACAGTATAAATACACTGTGTATGTGATTTTTCGATTCATATTCATAATTCCATTGAGATTTCATAGTTGTAACAAATCGTTTGATGCCTAAACTGTATATCGCTAGTGAGCAAAATTGAAGATATAGTCATGCAGCTGCCAGCGAAGCTTCAAAACCACAGAAGAAGATCGAGGCAGCCCAAGCTTCCCCTTTAAAGTTTCTACTGACCAGGAGAGGGTGGACATTATGTCCAGTAGTATTTGTTACCTCATGATAAAGTTATAGTTGTGTAATAACATTCAAGTTTTTGTAAATCCAGAGTTCCAGCAGGAGAGTGCTTGTAACACTTCTTGTTATACAAAACTGTAGATTAGTGTATTATAGTTGCAGTATTTTAGAATACCAGTCATGTCTATTTAGGTGAAATTTTCTTTGATCGACATTCCTTTTTTTTGTATACACATAATCTTGCCATTTCAGTGTCATGGTTTTGTTATCCGCATTTATGTTGTGTAATACTTGAATGTTCAACTTTGAAGAATTTGATAGAAATGTAGAGGGCATTACAGTATTATCTTTTATATACCTTGATGTAAACTTGGCAGGTATTTATAATCATTTTGACCGGAAATGCTATCTTTTGTTTACACGAGAGCGTTCTCACATTTATTCTTTTCATGAAAAAAAAGTGTTTCTTTGAATATGTATATTTGCTACTACTACTACTGCTCTATCTGTCGATCATTACCCACTTCTTCTTGACCAACCGCATTGTAAAACCTACTCACCCATCCTGCATGAGGAGTTTGCTGGCCAGCTTTCGTTGCTGACGTCGACGCCACCGCCCTATTTCGCAAACAACAAGTACATCCGCATTGAATAGAATGCTTAACGATTCAGGGGTTATTTCGTTTCACCATGATCCTATCTCCGCTGCTACTGCTACTACTGTCCCTACTTACCCGTCCTGCATGAGGAGTTTGAGAATCTTAATCAATCTCTTTAGAATATATGTGCACATTCAGTGTAGACTCCTTTGCGAGTATTATATATGTGGGATACGAAAGAGCATTTGTGCCGGATTTTCCATTAGTAAATTGTCTCTTCTTATCAACATTTCTAGGTCAAAATATAGCATTATGACGCAGGTTCCCTACCACAGTCTGCAGATAGTCAACCAGCTCAAGAGCTACAGTAATCCTGACGTTTTATTGCTGTCGCAAGGGGCCAGCACCACATAAGACTTTGTTTTTTCTTGCCGTTTTCTCATTCGTATATTTATATTTGTATTTTGTGTTTATCTTTTGTATGTTTTTTGTATGTTCTTTACTTATCTGTCAATATCAATGTTATAATTTTGTATGTTTTTATATGACAAATGGAATAAAATGAAATTCTTCTGCATTTATATCGTCAGAGTGTGTGTGTGTGTGTATAGGATCTTACAGACGTGTATCAATCAGTCGGAATTATATCTTTGTTCTTTTTTATTTGAATTTAACTTGGATCGATCATCATGGCAGCGTTTTGACAAGCCAGTAAAAATGCAACAATCTACATGTTTGTGGTCCTTACTTTCCAACAGCAGCACACCACCACGCAGGGGAGAAAAGGAAGAGAATTTCTAAAAGGGGTTGTAGCGATCAAAGCTGGGGGGAACTCCCTCTATGAGTTGTACATAAATAACCCAACGAGCTTCGACAAAGATATGATCAGGAAGATACTCAGGCTGCCACTCAACACATACTTTGCTCTTTTTCTTAATAGATCATCATGGCCAACAAGAATAAGACTGTATACAAGTTTGTGGTGGATACTTTTGAACAGCGGCACACCATCACGCAGGGGGGAAAAGGCAGAGAATTTGTACGAGGAGTTGTGACAATAAAAGCGGGGGAAACTCCCTCTATGAGTTATACGTTATAATTCAACGACCTTCGACAAGGAAATGATCAAGAAGCTACTCAGGCTACCACTCAAGCTCCCTCTATGAATTATACCTTAAAAACCCAACGAGCTTTGACAAGGATATGATCGAAAAGATGCTAAGGCTACCAATCAACACCCATTTCGCAATAAGAAATTGTGTCATTGACCTACTAACAGTGAAGATAAGCGCGACACCTCAGAGCCAAGTGAGTTAAACAAAACATCACAATGAAACGTGCCCTTTTTTCTTTCTAATAAGGGATCTATCCCCTTTCATAAATGCCAGCACCATATTTATGACTTTCACTCCGATTTTCGCCCAGTTATTGTCTCCTCTAAGCGACTAGCTCATCGCTTTCCTTATTGCTGATTCATGACCTTTGAACTGATCAAGTTTGGGTGAGATTTTGTTGAATTATTTTCCTTTTTTTCCACATTTTTTACTGGTAGGTTTCCCATCATGACCATGCGTAGCCTCCGTTCACTGACGAAGGTAGTGGATCCTGAACACGCGGGCGCAACCGCCCCTGGGCTGCCGCAAGCCGAGTCTACTGATATCCCGCCAGCAACGCTCACGCTTGCGGACCTGCACGCGGCAATTACTAGCTCAACTGCCGCGGTCTGTTTGGACTAGATTGGACAACCTCACAACCGAGGTGTCAACAATCAGGTCAAAGATTGATGACCTAGAAGCTTCAGCGACGTTTAACTCAGACAAGGTGGCTGATCTAGAGAAAAAACAAAGACCGGAACTCAAGCACTCCAAGCCTAGATCACTAACCTCACTGACAAGATAACCCTCATGGAGATTTACAACAGGCGTTCTAACATCTAGGGCATTCCTGAGGATGATCGTGAAAGCGTAGAAGAAACTCTGTGACAAACTGGCTTCCTGCCCACGGTGTCCGCAAAAAAGCAATTTAAAAAAAAAAAAATTTGTCTACGAAATTTCTAAATGGGGGGGTGCGGCCTTAACACCGGCAAATATGTACTACTACTACCACTGCTCTATCTGTCGCTCGTTACCCACTCCTTCTTGATCCAAGTCATTGTAAAACCTACTCACCCATCCTGCATGAGGAGTTTGCTGGCCAGCTTCCGCCGCCCTATTTCGCAAACAACAAGTAAACCCGCATTGAATGGAATGCTTAATGATTCAGGGGTTATTTCGTTCACCATGATCCTACTGCTGCTACTACTGTCCCTACTTACCCATCCTGCATGAGGAGTTTGCTGGCCAGCTTCTGGGCGACATCCACCGGTCTCTCGAGCTGCATCAGCGAGTCGGTGAAGCCTTGCATCTCCATGGCGACCGAGGAGGAGGATGAGAGGAGATGGATGCATTCCTGGAGCGATTGCATGTCCTGGAGAATGGTGGGGTCTGCGTTTGGGGGGAAAAAGGAAGGTAAGTCAAGATAACACAAAATACTAACAATAATCTTAAAGCCTATCTGTACTAGTTTGGCTAGGGGGATTAGACCTCCCTTCAAGGTCACTGACAGGTGCTTATCTCATCAAATAAGCTCTCAATTAACATAAGAAAAAGGGGATCATGGGTGACCAACAGGCACCAAATAGGCATTGTTTGCTATACAGAGGGCGCAAGTAGCTATAAGTAGTGCAGTGGGGCTTAAAGATAGAGTTGAGTTCTGGTCATGCGATTGCTTTGTGAAAGAAACATTGTGGAATCGATCAGAAAAGGTAGATCATCTAGCCTAGTATTGTATTATAGTATTGGTGTGTGCTGCAAGGTTCTGGAATCATCAAAATGATAAGAAATTCAGCCCAGTCTTGGTAAAGTTACAAGTACTGTACACAGAAAGATGTATATAGGACTACACGAACATGTGGCTTCATCATTATAATTATCACTTATTAAATATAAACAAAACAAGCCTCATCGATGGTTTTGAATGGGCTGATTACAGACGCAATAACAAGCTAAAAACTCCACTGATAATCTGCAGTACCTAAGTAGTAGTTTTTATCTTCATACTGTTATGTTGCATTTGTTTACAGGACCCCTCAGAAAACAGTACTTTGATTACTGACGTGGCTAACCTGTTTAAATAGAACAGAATGAATAAATAAATAAATACCCTCATCAGACAGCTCCACTCCGAGGTCGTCCATACTGAAAGTGCGCTTGACCCCCATGTGAAGGTCCTCAAGCAGGCCAACCGGTTGAAGCACAGACAATAAGTTCTGCACAGAGAGAGTGTGGGAGAGAGAATGGGAGAGAGAGAAAAAATGAAAGGGTGGGAGAGAGAGAATGGGAGAGAGAAAGGGAGAGAAAGAGAATGTGGGAGAGAGAAAAAATGAAAGAGAGTGGGAGAGAGAGAATGGGAGAGAGAGAATGGGAGAGAGAGCGAGAAAAGTAAGAAACACAATAAATATGCATCATTACACAGGCCTTAAATTTCGTCATTTTTAGGGCAAGGCCAGTTTGGCCTCGAGTACCTCATATTTTTAAGGGCACCAAGGCCAAAATATTTTTACAAAAAGGGCATCGAGGCCAAAATATTTTACAAAAAGGGCATCGAGTACGAGGCCAAAAAAATTGATTCTATTTTTGTTAGATGTCATGTGCATTTTATGAAACTTGTGCAGGATCAATTTCCCATGACTTTTAGCACCAGCTTCTTCACAGAATGTATAGAGGTCTACGGTACATACAAACAAGCAGGCGCGTAGCCAGGGGGGGGGGGGCACGGGGGGCACATGCCCCCCCTAAAATTTCCAGGATCGGTTGAAATTTTGTAGACCCCTTTTTTTTACCTCGATCGATTACATGTATGTGCCCCCCCAAACACCAAACTCTGGCTACGCGCCTGCAAACAAGGCGGCGGCCCGCAAGCCTTAGATTTAGCAGCCAGGAGCAAGGGGCAATTTTTTTTTTAAGTTGCCCTTTGCCACGGGAATTTACCGGAGCAAGGGGCAATTTTCCAAAAACAGATAGGCCGCTCATCTAATCATAAGTTCAAAGAGAGTCTACAAATGTTAATTTCATAATGTGAATAGATCGAACGATCAATTTAATAACTTTTTAATCTTAACAATATGAACAGGAAAGATTGATTAAGAACATCAAACTTGCACATTAAACAGTATTTTAAAGTAACTAAAAATATTGATGAGCAAATGAATAAATAAATTGTCAATTTCACAAACATCGAAAGTCAGAAGGACTTAATTAGTAAGTTTACCGGGCCGGGTATTCCAAATCAAAATCGCACCTCACACACAAACCTTCCGCCACTCTCTCGGTAGTAGGAGCAAATTTGAAGAAATTATCTTTTTAACTGTTGTATAGAAAGGTCTACATAGGCCTAACTAATGAAATAAGATGTAAAAATGTCCTTATAGACATTCGACAGCTGAAAGTGACACGCTCAGCTCAGCTGCGTAACGTGCATTCACGAAACCAAAATCGTTCCTCGTACACACACTCTCGCCACTTTTGGTGGGAAGCTGTCGGGCTGGAAGTTTGCCAGCGAAACCGATGCACCCTCGGAATTTTACCGGGACTCGAAACGTTCGTCTTGGGAAGCTGGCGGGGTAGCTTTTTGAAGCGAGGTCGGCTGGTGGCAAAATGAGAGTAACTACGATCGAGAACATCGTAGGTGTTCTTAACTTATTAATAAGATAATTCTAAATTCTATTTGAGATAAAATAATAAACTAGGCCTACAAACAAACCTCGACAGATCTCTAATGACTATTTGAATGCTTGTTTATTTCTCCATTTGACGATTTGTTTTCTTGATCCTGGCCTTCGATTTGTACGTACGTACGTGCGTGCGTCAACAGCATGCACCATAATTATGCATATCATGCGATCGCATAATATGAACGTACGTACGTGCGCTAGCGCATTGCCTATATAATAACAAAGGGCGCATTTTCACGGCACTTGCGCCTTATTAAAGCACTAAATACGAAGCTAGAAGAGAGCTCGTGGGCGGCAAACTGTTCGTGATTCGTGTATTTTTACTGTTCTAATAATTTATGGGCGCATTTTCACGGAAAACACTTGCGCCTTGCCGTCTAGTTTTAGATGATTATGGGCGCAATTGGTGGTTTTATGTGCGCAAATTTAAAATAAAAAGGGCACGTCCAGTTGGAAAAAAAGGCACGTCGGCCAGTTTGAAAAAAAGGGCACGGCCTTTTTGGCCGTGAATATATCTTTTTTGGGGAGGGCACCGCGGCCAGTCATAGGGGCATCGACGGCCTGGCCGTCGATGGCCGTCGATTAATTTAAGGCCTGATTACATCGTTGATCAATGAAATTGGTAAACCCTTAATAGATATAGGGTTTATTTTGACCCCTGACCTAATATCAACCTGAAAAAAGGGAATTTCTGAATTTTATGTACATTACAAAGAGAACAAATCATTAAGCGGCCCCCTTCCCCTCCTAGCCCCACTTCAAATGTAATCCTAAATTTAAAGTGCCTGGAAAAAGTGGTGCTATACACTACCATGAAGTAGGGGTCATGATTTTAAAGCATATCAGTTTAAAAAGAAATATGTACGTTTCTTACATTCTAAAAGTTAAGCAAAGCAGTGAAAATTAAATATTATCACAAAGTGTCAGGAAAAAATCGGACCAGACCATTTGTAGATGAGAGGGGTTTATTTCACAAACATGTCCCGACCCATGACCCAATGATTTAAAGTAAGCCGTATGTACTTACTCTTTTAATAAGGCACGGCATGTGAGTGTTACAATCCAAGAACAATCCTAACGGCTTGTTGGCAACCTAAACAAAAAAGGAGAGAAAGAGGGTAAGAAAGAGAGAGAGGGAATAGAGGGGGAAAAAGAAAAGAAGATAGAGGGGGAGAGAGAGAGAGAGAGAGAGAGAGGGAAGTGAGAGATATATGGTAAAAGTGAGGGGAGAGAGAGAGAGAGAATGAGATAGAGAGAGAGAGAGAGAGAGATAATTACAACCTAATATAAAAATGAAAGTGTGTGGGGTATCAAAAACTTCATAAGTATGTGAGTTATATTAAAACCAATCCTCATATTAATCTTCAATGAAAAATGATTCACATAGGGAGTAATCTCCCTACATAGAACAGCAACTCACTTGATGATACTCCACGCAGCAGGCTAGAAACTTGCTCATGCTCTGTTCCACCAGCTGTCTGTACTCCCCCTGGGAGACTTCCCCTCCCCCGACTCTCTGCTGTATCTCTGTTTCCACGACGATGGAGGCATCTTGTCGCAGGATGGAAGGATCAGGCAGGTCAACGTCCATCAGGGTCCCTAGGTCAGCCCCGGCGGAACGACTGTATGTCTGGAGACAACAATAATGAACATATCATGAAATATATACTATAATAATAATAATAATAACAAAATTTTAATGGCACATATGCACCCCAAGGGATGCTCAAGGCGCCTAACAGGGTAAAATACCTCAAACATATGATTGTACGTGAGAAGTTACATAGAACGAAAATAATAAGACTCGTAAGAAAAAAGTCATAAAATTACAGCGCAAGATTCTTTTGCATTACAAAATTATCGCGGAAAATGTAGAGGTGGGCTTCTAAAGCTTCTAAAGGCTTCTAAAGCCCCCCCCCCCCCTGAGGTGTGAAAGACTGTCAACCTGAAAACATAATGCTGATTTGTACTTACATGAAGGGCTCTGAGGATGGTTTGAACCGAGAACCTGCCGGGTTTGAAGATGTGATCCAGGTACGCCTCCTGTGATCAGAGGGAAGACAAATGAAGGATGAGAGATAAGTAAAGAGAGGGTGAGTGGGAGACAGAGACAATGAAACTTGTTTGATTGTTTTATTTATTTAACAATGATTAAAACACCTACTCATAGCCATAAGGCTGTTTTTCAGCTAGTCCGTTAAAAACATTCACACAATTTTTTTTTTTTAAATAAAAAAATCATAATACAAATTAAAATAACGAGATAAAAATTGTGTAAATAACTTTTAGTTACACACACTTAGTCGTTCAAACGTGTAACTTACATAATACATTATGGCTCACTCTACCCAACAACACGTAATTTATGCAATTTGTCTTCTGTCTAATGATATACAATTATTTGTAACAGGTGAATTAGATAATTCGGATTGAGGCACTTAAGTTTAAATTTGGTTACGAAAATGGCCTACAGTATATTCTCCCTTTGTTCATTATCTTTTTTTGTTGTTCACAGACAGGTTGTTGGTGACATTCTAAGCTTACCCGAGGGTCAAGAAAAGCTGGAACTTGGACACTGGTCAGCTGGTCAGTTTCCAGGTAGACCGGCTGCCATCCTTCTTGGCATTGCCTGCATAATAAAAAAATCAATCAAGAATCGTAAGGGGATGTTCACATACGGCGCCTAAAACGATTTAACAAGGGTTTCATTTTCAAAGTTGATGGTTAGTTTCTTTGTTTCTTTATTTTACATGACCGCTAAGAAAGCATGTCTTGATTAAACCTTCACAGCAACCACACCCTTATATTATGTGTCTCTATTTTGAGTTGTGTTTCATTTAGAACCTACGATAAAACATATGCTTGTAAGTAAGCAACCAGGGGACCAACGGCTTTAAATCCTCTCTGAGGGACTTGGTAATGAGGATTAATGCCTTATCATAGGGCACATAGTGGCCATGCATTTTGTCTCTCTCTCTCTCTCTCTCAACGTCTGTTGTAGAACCTGTCTAGAACGGCTGACTGTCAACAGTGGTCATGCATGTTACTAGTATACCCCTCTAGAAGGAAATGTGTTGTAGAACCTGTCTAGAATGGCCACTTTCATCTTTTCTCTTGGGTGGCCTCAATAGATAGGTCTGACAGGCGGTCTGACAGGGGGGTGTTTCACAAAGACTAAGATCGACTTTAAGTTGGACTTAACTATGGCAGGCCGCTCATGCCACTGTTTGCTCTCACCATTTACTGGCATTGGTCTCTCAAAGGACGTACAAACCATGGTCACAAATCTACAGAATTTACATTTTGTGATACTTCATTATTGAAGAAAAAATATCTAAAGATCATAATGGTGAGAGCAAGCAATGGCATGAATGGCCTGCCATAGTTAAGTCCAACTTAAAGTCGATTTTAGTCTTTAAACTAATTCCTCTTGAAAGGGAACTCCATCTTAACGAGAACTCAAGATTAGATTTCATCCGATCTTCATCATACTCACTTTGAATAGCATGTCGTCTTCACTACTGTGCCACCATCAGCTAAGCCCCACATGGCAACGACATGGGAACCAGTCATTGTGAAGTCAACAAGTGTTTGACCCTTGACATCATCCAGCGTGGTCACATGATACAGACGGCACTGACCATCCTGCCACTGCTGCTCCAAGATCAGGAACTAAGAGAAGAGACGAGATATGATATGAACTGGGGGGCGTTTCACAAAACTTTGACAAATGACAATTTTTGTTATAAGCTACAGATTATGATTAGCATCATTACTATTATTATAATCATCATCATCATCACGATTATTTTTATTATCATTAGTAGTAGTAGTAGTAGTTAGTAGCAGTAACAGCAATAGTAGTAGTGGCAGTATAAGTAGTAGTAGTAGCAGTAGTAGTATTAAATTCACTTACCAGTGAAAGTTGTGAGATTGTTAAGTAGATACTGAGGGTCAGACTAGAGGGCGTTGAACCCTGGATCACGCGGATCTCGTGACGGAGGATAGGCTGCTCGTCTAATCCCATCATGCCCTCTGGCAGGAAGCTGGTCAGGTCACTGGTGATCAGGCAGTTCAAGGTCTAAAGAAAAGTGAACAAAAAAAGAAATATTTAAAAATAGAACATATCTGCATTCATTGAAAAATCAAATACCAAACAATCAAACAAGAATAATAGTATATTTGATTGATTTACATAAGAAATGTGACAACTGATATACAAAAGAAAACAGATGTACCCATCAAGACATAAAGAAAAGGTCTATTTAAAGGCTGAATTGGAACTAATATTACCTTGCATGACCAGATCCTTAGCTTGTGGTCTCTAGATACACTGAAAGCCATCATGTCCTGGCCTAGGGGTCGAACAGCCACACTCTGGGCCAGATACATGGCATCTTGGCCTCTCCTGGCAACACAAAAAGAGATATCAAACATAATAGTATAACATGCACTGAGATGATCTGTTTATTATTACTACTACTATTAGGCCTTAAAAAAAATGATGCTGCATTGCCCTTTAGCTGCCAAAACATCGTTCGGTCAGTCAGAATTTTGTTTTTCCTCCGTCTTTGGGCCGATATTTCTCAGTTTTGATTGCTTAGTATTTTTTTTTGTCTGAAAAACGGTTTTAAAAAAAAAAAATTAAAAAGATTTTGGGGTCGGTCTTGAAGGGCAACACAAAATCTTTTTTTTTATGTCTTATTATTGTCATCACTAACATCCTCATCATCAACATCATCATCAACATCATCATCTTCATCATCATCTTCATCATCATCATCTTCATCATCATCATCATCATCATCATCATCATCTTCATCATCATCTTCATCATCATCATCATTATCATCATCACCATCACCATCATCATCATCATCATCACCACCATCATCACCATCATCACCACCATCATCACCATCATCATCATCACCATCACCATCATCATCACCATCATCATCATCATCATCATCATCATCATCGCAATCATCTTCATCATCTTCATCATCATCACCCTCCCCATCACCATCATCGTCGTCATCATCATCACCACCATCATCACCATCATCACCACCATCATCACCATCATCAGCATCATCATCATCACCATCATCATCATCATCACCACAATCATCACCACCATCATCACCACCACCACCACCATCTTCATCTTCATCTTCATCATCGTCTCTACAGTTCAGAGTCTGTAGTCCCACAATCTCATTTTGGCATTTGCTTGTCATAGAAGGAAAAAAGAAAAAGAGTACAAATAGCAATACCTGATGGCGACTGGGACGAGACCAGTCCACAACCTTTCCATGATAGAGGACTCTTTGACTTCATTCTGTGTTGTAATACCTACAGATATGATAACTTATTATTATTATTGGTAGTATTATTATTATTATTATTACAGAAAAATTACAGAAAATGACAATTACATAAATACATGTAAATTATACAAACTGCAAAATGTGTTTTCAAGGCCTTTCTGAAGATAATGACTGATGAATTTTGAGTGGTAGATCATTCCAGTATTTTAAAGCAGATATTGTTAATGTCCCATCACTGACCTCAATGCCCTGTATTTAGATTCAAACAGGTATCTAAATATTGTGGAACTTGATTTTTGAGTATTTTGTACACAAGCAAGAGTATTTTAAAAATTATTCTTTGTTTCAAAGGAAGCCGGTGTAATGATCTCAAGAGTGGCTGAAATGGATGGATAAATGAAACTTAACACGTGGAGGAGGCAGATTATCCTGAAGAAGAAGAAGAAGAAGAAGAAGAAGAAGAAGAAGAAGAAGAAGAAGAAGAAGAAGAAGAAGAAGAAGAAGAAGAAGAAGAAGAAAGAAGAAGAAGAAGAAGAAGAAGAAGAAGAAGAAGAAGAAGAAGAAGAAGAAGAAGAAGAAGAAGAAGAAGAAGAAGAAGAAGAAGAAGAAGAAGAAGAAGAAGAAGAAGAAGAAGAAGAAGAAGAAGAAGAAGAAGAAGAAGAAGAAGAAGAAGAAGAAGAAGAAGAAGAAGAAGAAGAAGAAGAAGAAGAAGAAGAAGAAGAAGAAGAAGAAGAAAGTAAAACTTTATTTACAATACATATAATAATTAAAACAGATAAAAAAATAACAGTGATGCACTTAATATAATAAGTGTTTGTGAATCATATACCAATAATCAACAACAAGTAGTACGTAATACATGAGAAAGTAACCATTAAACAATTCATAAAAAAACAATAATTTCGACGGTAGAAATTGAGAAAAAACATAAATTGTACTAAACACTGATTACAAATGATTACACATCCATAGAGTGTTTCAAAACGATTAAGTGGGAATTCATAACTTCCAACTAAGAGCTTCTTCTCAAGACAAACTTATCACAAACAACAATTAAATCAACCATGTGAGATCAATATCATCTGAAAGAAAGAGTACATTATTGTACGACCATATCTTATGAAATAACACCAAATTGTTTTGTAATTTGCGAAATTCATAATCAAGAATGACTCTGTTCTTGATTCTAAGTTTCCAAAAAGGAAGTGGATCAAGAAAACGAGAGGTACGATAAAGCCAATATAATGTGCTTTTAAGAATGACAATAAAAAAGTTGGATAGGCGCACGGCCTCCCTGTTACGACCTCTTGCATGTGGAACCAGAGTCCAGTAGAGGTCAAAGTCAATGTTTACTTCGGGTAGAAGACTTGACAGAAGATGATGAAGAAGATCCAAGGCCGGTTGTATAGAAGTACACTCGATAAAGAGGTGTAGAATAGTTCCCTTCTTGCCACACCATCCACATGAAGAGGAGATATCGGGATTAAGATGATGAAGAACGGCAAGCGACGGAAGAACATTGTGTAATAGTTTGTACTGAGTGTCCCCATCTTTCTTAGATGATGGATAGCAGTAGATTTCAGTCCAGTTGATTAGTTTAGAAGGGGAAAGTAACCCAGCCTCGTGCCAATGAGTAACTTGAGCTCTAGGAAGAAAGTTAATAGCACGGTTGAAGATTCGATATATCGATTTAGTCGGCGTGGCAAGAATGTTCTTGTTGTCTTTAGTTATGATCGAGAACGGAGAGGTAACAGGTTCAGTCAGATTATGAAGATAAGCTGAAGCTGCTGACAGTCTTAGTCCGCTGTTCGAAAAGAATCTAGGAAACAAACCGGAAATCTCTTTGTGAAGTCGAGAGAGGTCAAGTTCCAAAAGGCGTAAAGACGGACGCTGCAAAGTGGAGGCAATGACGACCTCGTCTGCTCGGAGCCAGGTACCGTTGTTCGGGTTTACAAGATGCTTGACGAGTTTGATTCCACATGCAAATAGTCTAACAGGGAAGATCTTGTCGCCATCCAGTGTAAATTGAAGAAATTTATAATAAATCAAGGGAATGTTTAACACATGGTTGACAGTAAAGGACGATGTCTCGACGCTTGCTCCAGAGGTAATCCAAGCACGCAAAATTTCCGAATAGAAACAAGGAAGGCTGGTATAAAACTTTGGGTCTAATTCAGTCAGAAACAAAGGAAAATCAAGATTTAGTTTCTTATATCTGCGAAAATTATGAGAACAAAGGGCATACGCAGGATGAGAACAGAGATTGAGATAACGCTGTAAAAAGGCAAAACGGAATGTAAGGGTTCGTGCTTGGAGACATGCCAAACCAAGTCCACCTTTGTTGGGTTGTTGAAACAGAATTTGCTTTCTTAAAAGATGTCGTTTACCAGACCAGACATAATTAATAAGCATTTCTTGGAGTTCAATTAGTGTTTGCTGAGGGGGAGACAAAACTGCAAGACAATGGAAAAGTTTAGATGCAGCTAATTGATTAGCAATAATGATTCTGCCTTTAAAGGACAAACTGTAAGAAAGGGAGCTCCATCGAGATAGAGTCTTACTCAGTTTTTCTTTACACTTTGACCAATTTTTGTTTACATAATTATTATTATTTCCTAGATGAACTCCAAGAAAGAGGAGACCTTCGCAATTCCACAGGAAATCAAGGGGCCTGTCTCTACGTTTCGACCATGATCCGGCCCACAGTCCTTGAGATTTAACATAATTAAGACAGGCAGCCGAGGCCTTGCTAAAAGTGTTATATGTATCTAGAATAATATCAAAGCCTTTGTCTTCAGTGACAAAAATTGATATATCATCCGCATACGCAGATACCGAGACATTCATATCTGTGTTGGGTAAGGAGAAAGAACACGATGAAAGATTAACTTTTAACTTGTGAAGAAAAGGTTCTATGGCTATAGAATACAGAAAGCCAGATAAAGGGCAACCTTGGCGTATGCCTTTTTGAAAAGGAAAAGGCGCAGTGAGGGATCCACACACTTTGACTAAGCCCTCTGCGTCATTATACAAAAGTTGAATACAAGAAATAAAATATTCTCCAAAGCCCATAGCTCTCATGGTATTGAAGAGATAATTATGATCTACATTATCGAAGGCTTTCCTTTGATCCAAATTAACTACTGCAAGAGGGGTATCATTGCAATTAGAGAAGTGTACAATGTCTCGGATCAAATTTAAGTTGTCATAAATCGTTCGACCTGGAACACAATACGTTTGGTCTTCAGATACAATGTTAGTAATATAATGTTTCAATCTATTGGCAAGTATCTTTGCAAAAATTTTGTAATCATTATTTAGAAGAGAGACTGGTCGCCAGTTTGCAATGTCTGCCAGGTCTCCTTTTTTAGGAATCAACGTAATCACTGCTCTACGAAAAGTATGTGGGAGGGTTCCAGTACTTATGGCATATTGTAATACAGAGAAGAGATCATTTTTTATCAAGGGCCAGAAAGTCTGATAGAATTCAGAAGAAAGTCCATCTAGACCAGGCGTTTTATTTTTGCCGAGCTGTGTGACAGCAATATCAAGTTCATTGAATGACAAAGGAGCGTCAAGATGTTTTGAATCCTCAGGGTTGAGTTTCGATAGATCAGATAAAATAGTATCAACCGAATTTTCATCAATAGGTACACGACAGTACAAATTCTTATAAAAATTCCGAACGTGAATTTTAATATCGTTCTGATCCTCTGTAATGTTACCCGAAGGGAGACGGGTACGAGAGAGTGTTTTAAAAGTAGAGTTTGATTTTTCAAGACCATAAAAATAGGATGAGCTAGTGTCTATCTCATTAGCATATTGAAAACGTGACCTTACAAGAGCACCCTTGGCTTGATTCTTAAGGAGAATGTTTAGTTCAGTTCTTTGTTCAGCAAGAGCCTGCTGGATATCAGGCGTGAATTCAGGCGAAGAATGCAGTTCGTCGATGGTTTTATTGATATTCAATATCGTTTCCTTCTTCTCATTGGCTAACTTAGATCCGTACATTTGAGTGAGCACCTTAATGTGGGATTTACCAAAGTCCCACCATGACAGAATGTTAGGAAAGTCGGCTTTTTTATTTTGCCAGTCAGTCCAGAAATGACTAATAATACTTCTATAGTCATTGTCATCAAGAAGGGAATTATTAAGATGCCAAAAAGCACATCCTCTTGGCTTCTGTGGGGGAATTTTAATTTTCAGGGAAATCGCACAGTGATCAGAGAGAGTACAAGGTAGAATACGACAAGAGTGTAATGAAGGTATTAGGGGAAAAGACACATAAAAACGATCAAGTCTGGCTTTAGAAACACCATTAACGCTGTGAGGGTTGTTCCTATGCCAAGAGTATTTCTTTTCATGAGGGTGAAGTCTGCGCCACGTATCACAAAGTTTATTACTATCAATCACTTCCTTGAGGGCAGAAGATAACTTAGGTCTATGCTCATTAGGCATGCACAATCTGTCTAATGACGGAGATAGGGTACAGTTATAATCACCGCCAATAATAATAACACCATCACTGCACTGATTAACATGATACGCAAGAAGATGAACAGCCTTAATAGCAAGGCCGTCATCTTGTGGCATTAACACATTATATAAATGATACATACCACCATCGAACTCAATTTTAACATATATAATGTGGCTATTAAGTATAACTAAGGAGTCAATATCACTACAAAGATTATTCTTCACAAGGGTAGCTACTCCGGATCCTCGATTATGCCCGGGGGCACAAAAAGGTTTATAGGATGACCACAAATTCCAACATTGAGAATTCTGGGAGAGGTCATTAATTTCTTGTAGAAACACAATGTCAGAATCAAACGCAATATTATCAACATAACTAAACACTGAAGCATTCTTCATGGCATTGGAGCAACCTCCAGTATTAAGGGTGAGCAACGACAGCGTCATAAAAAGGGAGAGAAAGGCATGCAGGTCTACGCTCATATTACATAAGAAGATGGCCATATTAGATATCTAAATTTTTGATTAATTTGTAAATCCTCTGCTGTGTACTTTTAGTAAACAGAGGACTGTTCCTCAGGGGTCTAAGTTGTCTTACAAGTCCTGATATGTTGGAAGTGAATTTTCTCGCTACCTCTAGAGGTTTTTTCCGTGCTTTGACAATCTTTAGAAATTTGCAAATTTCCTTTGAAGAGAGGGGTCCTTGACTGGACGGAAAAGAGGAGGCCCAGTCAAAGGATTCATCGTCAGTCTGTGTATCATCCCATCCCGCCACGTCATCAGTGTCGACAGTGTCTACCGTGGAAGCGGGAGAGGATGGGATTGGTGACGCAGGGAGCGATACTGATACAGGGGAGGGAGGTTCTGACGTCACGGGAGAGGAAACTTTTCTCATTAGTTTCCGCGGTGGGGTAGCAGACACAATTGGAGTAAGTTTAGGGGAGTCTACCAAAGAAGGTTCGGGAGGTTGTTTCCTTTTAACAACATCTGCGAAAAGTCTGGACGGGGCGGGCGGTGTTCCCCAGATGGGGTCGCAAAGGGTTTGGGTCAAAGAAATTGTGGGGGTTACAAGAGGAGGAGCTTTGTCCTGGCTACTGCCTGTGGGGTAGCTGCTAGGTGGACTATTATCAGAGCTGCCAACATTTGATTTGGGTAATCAGGGAGATTTCTGAGAGAGCAGCATCGAACGACTTCATTGTTGGCGGGAACCAAGAATGGCCTTTTAGTGCCCCTGGTGGGGGGGGGGGGGGCAGGGGGCAGGCCCCCAAAAGCTCTTGGTTTTAAGCCTCTTTGAAACCCTTTTAGAACACATTTTTTCAATGATTTCTCAAAATGGAAGGCTTTGATATGGCACATTTTATTTGCATACAATTGATAACATATGAACTTCACATCATATTTCAGACTATGAACTCCTGTTACCTCTATTGTGAAATGGGGGATGTACTTGTGGAAGGCAAGGACTGGGGTGTGCTTGAGGGTTTTCCTTGAAGTGACTGGTAGGTTGCTTGCTTGAGTTTGCTAAGGAGGTCCTTGCTATACTCCCTTTGGTAGCATGGGACATCTGTGTTGGCAATTTTCTCTGTTAGGAGTGCTTGAAGTGTTTTCAAATTCATTGATCCCCTGAAATCAGTTTTGTTCTTCCTAACAATGCTAAAAACTCTTTCACATGAAGCATTGGAATGTGGTATCACAAGCAAAGATTTCATCACTTTGCTCAGAAGTGTGTATTTCTTTGAGCCATTGCCATCCTCCATCTTTGAAATTGCAGACCATTTCTTGTCTATTCTCAAGTTTTTGTTCAGGATCTCTGGCAAAATACAGCCTTGTTTTGGACAAAGTTGACTTACGCCTTCGGAAGATGCAAGTTATATCGATGCGTTCCCAACGGCAAAGGAGATCAGAAAAAAAAAGTCGGCTTCAAAATCCACTCTGCAGTAACACTGCCATGTTGGTATCAAATGATAATCCACTTAAAAATCACATCGCAAAAGTCCCCAAATCAATCCAAAAACTGATGTTGAAATGTGCAGTTTTTTGGGCCGATCGCAGCAGACAAAGTCTGCTTGTTGTATCAGTGCAACTTCTGGCTGCTCTGACGCGACCGATCGGAAACCGGCACCAACGTACCGGGACGCTACGGGGGCCGGCGAGGAAGCCGCCCGGCAGAGCAAGCAGGCGAATTGCTATCACACAAACACCACTCACATTATCACATGTTCCCAATGGTTTGTTAGATTAGCCCGCCAGTCGTTCGGCGTAACTCTCATTTATTACGCTGTTAAATAAAGTACGATATCACGGTAAATTTATATTCGACGACTGGATAACAGGAAAATTCATATTACAGAATTGCCGTGTGTTTGTATACGTACGTACGAACTCAACATGCTAGTCTTGTGAAACAGTCGTTTATGAAAATAATACAACTTAAAATCTGGAAATCCGGGAGATTTTTGCATGGGGTCGGGAAAACGGGATATTGGGTCAAAATCCGGGAGTCTCCCGCAGGATCCGGGAGACTTGGCAGCTCTGTATTATTAATGCTACGGGAAACTATCGCAACCGGAGTTGTAGGCCTACGCGCAAGGGCCCCTTCAGCGGTTTCGTCAACCATTGAACGCGAAGAGGCGGGCCTAGGGCTGGAGCCGCTAGGCTTTTCTGTGTGTACTGGGGACGCCCTCAGATTAAGGGTTTCAGGTTCAGACCGTAAGGGTTTAGACACTTTGGGGGGATGTCGTGGGTCAGATTTTCCTTTTGCCTGTGTTGACGTAAGGGTAGAGTTTGCGGACTCATTTGGCCGAGCGGTTTTTTTGCAATTCTTGCCGATATGTCCAGCCTCTCCGCACTCAAAACAGCGAGCCGCCTCAGTGGAAAGAAAAACGCGATAATTGGTGCCTGCGTGAATAAAGTTAACGAAATCGGGTAGGGTAACATTCGGAGTAAGCAGCACCTGGACTTGTCGACGGAAGGACATGATGTGAGCTAGTTGTTTATCCTTGAAACCAATAGGGATGGGACGAATCTGTGAGACTACTTTACAAAAAGCAGAAACTTGTTTTACAAGAACAGAGTTCGGAATTTCTGAGTAAACATTAGATAGTGTGAGACGTGTTGTGGGCAAAACCAAAGGTAAGACTTGTATGAATGCGCCTCTAAAGGTCAAACCATTGTTAACGGCACTCAAGACTGCTTCTTTGGAATTCAGATACATAGCAATACGTTGGTTACTGATACGAGAGGCAGACACTATACAATGAGCTGGAATGGTGTCTACAAACGCTCTTATGTAATCATGAATAGGAACATGTGCTGCAGAACCAAAAACGATACCATTGTTTCTGCTTACGGCCTTGAACGGCTCGGCAGCAGAAACAGGAACGGTATTTTGAGCCGAGCTGGTCCCCGGCTTATCCCGGGAGGCCTGTTCGGCTTCACTGGCCATAGTGGCCAAAAAATTCTTACACAAGGTTACCACAAAAAAAGCATAAAAACTACAATTATTAACACACAAGAAAGGTGGACTTGGTTTGGTATGGTTGTACTGTGTACTAGTAGTACACTAGTATTAAAACTGTAATTATAAACAGTATAATTCCGACAAAACTTACAAAAACTCTGGAGCTCGCTCGAGACACGTCCTTTTACAACAAAGAAGAAGAAGAAGAAGAAGAAGAAGATGTTGTTTACCTCTCAAGCCAAGCGGGGCCATCTTGACCAAGACCAGGCTACCGCTGCGTACCGAGAGAGCGAACCAGGCCTCTCCATCCCCGGTCATCCATGACCCGCATGCCTGGAACTCATAGGTCTGAGCTCCGCCTTGTACGATCTCGTGGATGTTAGACGCATCCCGGAAGTTCGTCACGGAGGCGTCGGCAAAGATGGAGGTTAGATCAAAGCTTGTGAACTGGTTGTTGGAATCCTGATAATGAAAATATTAGTAACAACATTATTGCTCTGGGAGACGTGACACAAACGTTTATTTTATTATTATGTAAATTTTATTTAATTTCCAAGAACATTTCCATAAAAGTATAAAACAAGAATAAAGTACAGTTTCTCAGCAAGACATGGGCATCGCCATTTTTTTGAAAAATTGCATGACGTACTATGCGAAGTCATTTATCAACTAAATGTATTCAAATTTATGAATTCTTACTTCCCAGGTGTTTGTGGTGTTGAAGCATTTCATTCACCGAGTACTCCAATTGCCAGAACGCAAATTGCATAAATAAGTTGGTGCTGTTCTGGGGTGAAGGTTTCACATTTCTGAATAAATGAGTTACAATTGTTACCCTATTATAAATTTTTCACCAAATATAATTTTTAACTTCTCGGCTACGATTTTCCCTTATTGAAAAGTAAAGGTTTTGTTATTGAATTAAAAAGTCTTAAAATTATCTTAAAATTAAAAACATGTACAACTCCGCCTGGTACGTCACATTTTCAACAAAATGGCTGCACCCATGTTAAGCCGGAGACTAAGTAAAATTCTCATATTTCAAACTTAAGTATTGAATTGAATACGGGGCCGGGCCCTAGTAGAAAATAGAAAATTTAGAGGTAATTGTTCTTACTTGAGATAAATGATATTTTGTTGAGCTCACCTGTTTATTCAATTTGTTGGGATGGGGGAACGGCAGACGATGAACCGATGTGAACGTAGCGATCAGAACCACAACGTGTGAATGGGTCTCGTGGATCGACACTCTTGGAATGATGGGGGAGCCCTGGAAGTTGAGACGCAGGGCGTTGCCATGGAGATTGTGATTGAGGGAGCTCTCCACCAGTTCTACACGATTCTGAGAAGTGCGCCTTTAGAACGGGGAGAAGAAGAAGATACATTTCTAGATTATGGCATCTTTAAAGTTGGCCTGAGTCATGTCAGGAATTTTATAAACCGGGACCTGACGGCCTTGCACCGATCGGGAACCGGTGTCGTCTGCCTGTATAAATAACGCATTTCATCAGTATGCCCCTTAAAAGTGACCTTTTTTATCAATAAAATAAATAAACACATGCGTACCTTGGCTCAGATCGGTATATTCTCCCATTTGACATTATTTTCATCCATGTTTGGCAATGTTTAGTGCCATTATGATGCCTCTAAAAATAATAAACTGTGCAAAAATATAAAGGGAACATTCGAGCCGCCATTTTGATTCATGCAGGATGACTAAATCAGGTTTTAAAAAAAATGTACAACATACCGATCGAATAATTTTTTAAGACAAATAAGTACTTTTCTCTTATTTTAAACACTGCATGCTTCTTTTAAAAGATGATAATTATTTAGTAATCACAACAAGTTTCGATCTAGTTTTGATACTGATAGATGTTGCAAGGCAAGTTCCGACTAGTTCCCCCCCCCCCCTCTCTTCCCCCCCCCCCTCTCTCTTCCCCCCCCCCCCCCCCCCCCTCTCTTCCTCCCCCTCCCTCTCTCTCAATAAAGGCATATCCAAGCAGTCTTACCAGTAGATGAACCTGTTAGCGGTGGCACTGTTGACCTTGTGACTGTCCTTGTAGGCGAATCCCCCTGCGCTATCCGCGACATTGACGTCTTGAAGGACACCTTGCGTTCCACCTGCATGATTAAAAAACATAGGCATTGTTAACACGGTACGTCAGAGTTTGGGTCTTGCCATGAGAATGGTGCACAAAATATTAAGATAAGTGTCCATGGGCAGACCTGCCAACCTCTGGAGTTCAAAAACTGTATTCTTTAATCCCAAAAGTTGTATTTTACTGACAAAAGTTCTATTCTTAAAAATAAACACGGATTGTTACGTGGATCAATGCCTCTTACAGTTCCTACCTACAGGAAGAATTTTTTTATGGATCATTGGTTGAATATGCACGATTTTGTCATGACTGGTGTGTTCGATGAACCAATGAACATACCCAAATTGCCAATGTGAGATACTTGAAGGATACTTAACAAAACATAATTGGCATTTTGCCTTCTTTTTTTTTCTTTTTGTGAAAATCATATTTTTTTAAGGAAAATCGTACGTTGTATTTGCTTCTAAAAATCGTACTAAATACGACTAAATCGTACTGGTTGGCAGGTCTGCATGGGGATGTTTCACAAACAACTAATTTAAGACTCACACAAGACAAAACTAGTCTTGACACGATTGTTGACTTGAGCAACACTGCTACATGTATATGTGTTAAAACATCTTCAAAATGGCTGCCAAGATGGCTGACATGCAGTCCATGAAACAATAACAAACAATCACAAGATTTTACATGAAGTAAGTAACCAATAGAAAGCCTGAGGAAAGATAGAGTGCCATGTGCTTTAAGTGTGCTAGGTTGAATAGCCAAGAGATAGGAAGGGTGTGTGTGTGGTGCTATGGCAGGTAATGTGAATGAGGATGAATGAATAGGGACAGGACAATACAAGCAAAGAGCTTAACAGACATCAGACAATGAATGTAGGTAAGGAGTGTACTAAAGCGTAAACGAGTGGAAAGCTAAAGTAAAATAAAAAAGTAACCTACTGGATCATTAAATTAAAACCTTACACTTAAATATCGAGTTTAAGTTGGACTTAACCATGGCAGGCCGTTCATGCCATTGTTGCCATTGTTTGCTCTCACCTATACTGGCATTGGTCTCTCAAGGGACGTACACATCATAGTAAAAAAATCTACAGAATTTAAATTTTTTGGTAATTCATTATTGCCCTGGACATGAACCATAATAGTATTTCAATAGACAGAATTCAAATTGCATACATTAGTTGGTGTCAGGTTGGACAAACATTATGGCTTGACCTACATGTACCTGCACTGTAGCAACACTTAATATATGCAGTTTGCATTCTGACTATTGAAATACTATTATTCTTAACAGGTGAATGAAATAACTTGTATTGAGGCACTTCACAAAGACTTATGCATTAAATTTGGTTACATTTACGAAAATGGCCTATTGAAATAAATTATTATGTACATTGTAAGCGAATAAGCAAATGATGTGAAATGAATATGTATGAGAGAAGAGACTAAAGAAACAAATACAAGTATGGAATGCGTCAATATTTTAGAATTCCGAGATGATGCCCGTTTGGAAATATGGAGGTTAATCTGCTCTTTCATATGACACCTCATTTTTTGAGTATTACCTTCAGGATCACAAGAAATAAAGGTTTGAATCTCGATTCGGTAATAAAAACATTGACCAATTTTGCATGATCCTGCAACATCGGGTGCGCGATCAGACACCCTACAACATGTAAACAGCAATTCACTAACCTGGGACCAGGGGAGTGCTTCACAAAGACTAAGGAGCATAAATAGTTGGAAGAACCTTCCTGAAATTGCCATTACTGCCTCATCAATCAATAAGTTCAAGTCAGAACTTTAAAATCATTGGAAGCTCCATCCGCTGAAATACTACCCATACCAACGCGAATCCAATGCAGTAAAGAGGGGCACATAAGCTGAAGCTTCAAGCCTCAACACCAAAGTAAATCAAAGTAAGTAGGCCTAAGTAAAGATCGACTTTAAGCTGGAATATAGCAGGCCAAATGTGTAAAGTAGAAATAGTCTATGAGCGGTTTTTGCGAATGTTAGAACTTTCAAAAATGTAAGCATGACTTCTTGTGTGTGTTTTGGACGGAGTTTATTGCGTGTAACGCGAATTTCACAACCACTACCAGCGAATATGTTTAGGGGTCGCTCAGCTCGAAAATTTATTCACACAAAATTAACAGCGTTTACAGTATCGGTTACACATAAATTACAGAGTTAGTTCAGAATCAGATTTTCTGTCAGATGTGTTTTCAAATTTTGGAGTCAATTTTGTGAATATATTTTTTAAAGAATTTGCCTACTTAAGATCCAGCTTCCTTCCATCTTGGTGAATCATTGGTTAACCTACGACAATCTGGTCGATTTGTTGTGGTGGGGTATTCTGAAGTCGCTCTGATCTGCATTTGTGACACAAATTAAGTTGAAAATTTAATTCAACCTAACACCAATTTGTATACGTGGGACAACAAAATGAGTTTTGCATGCATATTGTATTGTGTGCGTCCGACAGCAAAATACCCAAATTCGTGTAAGTTTCACGTACTTTGATTACTCTCGTTAATATAAACCTTAAATGAAATACAAATAAATTACTTCACATACCTGAATTTATTGTGAGATCTTTCCAACGATGTGTTTCCCCTCTCAAAATAAGAACCTCGTGAAAGGATGTGGACAGCGCCATATTGGATTTCGCGCCTTCATAGGCTTTCATTTCAGACTAGTTTTTGGTGATAGTTGATGTTGTTGGTTGATTGATTGATTGATTGATTTTTATTCGACAAGCTTCCAACATACAACAATATACAATAATAACAGATCAAAAATAAGTCAGCTTGAACAGGATAACCCACGAAAGCTCGAGAGCTTATTTCCAGAATAGAATAGAATAGAATAGAATAGAATAGAATAGAATTTATTGACTCATTCGACCCCCTTCTGGGGTATGAGAGTACAACACATGTACATGTCATGATAATGATACATAATAAAGAATACAAACATAGCTTAATAATACAAAGAATACAGAATACAACAAAACAACAATATAAAAGTATAACGATAAATAGAAATGATCTAAACCTAGCCTATGCTAAACATAAATACAATATTATACAATATGGCAAGCATACATGAAAAGTGGAAAATACCACATGAACAATCTAAATACAAACACAAAGAAAAAGAAAGATAAAAACAAAAAATAATTTTACAATTTTTTTTTTTTTTTTTAAATACATTATTGTCTTAACTAAAAAAGAAATTATAAGTTTCATTTTTGTACATGTAAGTGAGTTGTGATTGGATTGTTAAGATATATGCAGACTAACAAAATACGCCATAATCGTCCATTGGACAAACAAAAACATAATGGAATATAATGTAATAAGACAAACAAAACAAAAAGTATACTAACAAAAAAAAACAAAAAAAAATGAACAAAAGAACAAACAAACCATCAAAACTATACTTGACCTAAAGAAAGACTGTACTACAGATCAAGAATTGTTGGTTGCTTAATTAACCTACCACTTCGGGTTGTAACATTTCTTTTTATGGGCGACATATGATTGGATTGTTCAGATTTACATGTATATAGACGAGCAAAATATGACATTATTATCCTTAAGAAGAGTACTAATTTCTTCAGCTGTCCTATACCGGAACATGAAAATAAATTCAACATGTGTGATGTGCAAGGGCGTTTAACTATTACTTTGCGACCTAAATATAACTCTCTTTCCTTTCTGAAAAAAGGGCATACAAAAACATAATGGAATTCATCACCAGACTCATGCATATCACAACATGGGCATTCAATACTAATTTCATTAACAGCTTCTTTGAATCTGTTATTATTAATTGGTAAACGGTGTGACCTACATCTAAAACGGCTCAATGTTATTCTATCTTTTTTACTCAGCAAAACTAAATACCTTTCAAAGAAACAATCCTCTTTAAAGATCCTATAATTTAGGCACACACTGTTTGTCCAAATTGTTGCCTTCACATCTTGTTTTGAAATATCGTTTAATCTCAACTTCAGAGTGCTCAGTATCCAACTATTGCTAAATCCTTCCCCTTGCTTTAGCCAAACAATACCAAGACCAGCATGGTTCAATATTTTTTCAATACAAGATAACCACTTGAAAGAAGTAGACATATCTACATTCTGAATAATTAACCTTTGCAAAAAATAAAATTTGACTGAATATTTAGAGGGAGAACCTTTTACTATTCTTAACCAGAAACTAACCATTCGATGTTTGATACTGTTAGCTAGCCATGCCCTCCCAGTTTCTCCATATATCATACAATCTGGTGTAAATTTATTTACACATAACGCTGACCTGAGAAATTTTCTATGGAATATTTCAATTTGACTCAGATCTTCATATCCCCACACTTCGCATCCATAAATGAGTATTGGTAATACAAGTTGGTCAAACAATTCACATTGAATATCCAGTGGCAGTTTGAGTTCCAGTGGGGTCCCTTACAGACATGTATAAAATTAATAACTTATTAATTTTATTATTTTCTTATCTGTCTGTAAAATATTACTATTTTAACTTAAAGTTAAAATAGTAATGTTTTACAGACAGATAAGAAAATTAAAAGAACTACTTATTAAAGATAATAATAATAATAATAACAACATTAAACTGATGATAGAAATTATATAAAGTACAAGAAAAAAAGAAGAAGGAGAAGAAGAAAAAGAGGAGAAGGAAGTAGAGGAAAATAATGATGAATTTGTAGAATTTCTATAACGTACGAAAACATAAGTATATACAACATGAAAAAGTATGAACCGACAGAAGAATAAAAATTTCAATCATATAACATGTCATTTACTTCTCTTCTCTGACTGTCAAGTATTAGGTATTCGTTTAATTTCCTCTTAAAATTATCATAGTTTCCTATTTCTTTTACACCATTGGGAAGGGAATTCCAATGTTTTATGGCATTGTAATAAAACGAATTTCCAATACTACCTACTCTTTCTGGTAAGTTAAAGTTGAATCGTCTATTTCTTGTATTATAATCATGTAAGTCAGTAACAAGATCAAAGTTGGATCGAATATAATGATTTGACCTAGTATGATATATTTTATGCACGTGATGCAATACGAGTTATTTTGATCTTTGGTCGACTTCAAGAAAACCAGCTTTAGAAAGTTCGCTGTAGCCAACATGAGTTCTTGGACCAGAACAGTTGATAAATCTCACCATTTTGTTCTGTATAATCTTCAACTTCTTTTGATCTGACTTGTTTATTTTTCATATACCATGCAGGGTTAGCATAGTCAAATAAACATTGAATAAGAGCAAAACAGAGTGTACGTCTTGCTTTTAAATCCATACAACTTTGATATCTGTACAAAAATTTCAGACGAGAATTTGCTTTTTTTACAACTGATTCTACTAAAGATGAAAATGAAATTGCGCTAGCCAACTCAATGCATAAATACTTCACAGACTCTTTTCTCTTGATTGCTTGATTATTGCGTGTCACTTTGAATTCAAATGACTTTTTAGAACTACTTTTAGAACAAAATAATGATTTCTGTTTTGGCCAGGGTTATCTTAGTACTACTTTGTAGGCCTACTATAACGTTACGAGCAGTCAATTTCATATATATTTCCTTATTATAATTTCTTTCTTTTTTCTAAAAAGAGGTAAGCCCTTTCTATTTGAAGTTAAACATCATCTTGGTTTCGATTCTTCATCCACTGAGGAAGTTCAGGTATGAGTTAAAATTAGACTTTCGATCTAAGCTTCCATACACTTGCATTAGTTGTAGATCTAATAGCTTTTACAATTAATAATATATTTTCTCTTTGTCTAGAGTCTAGTCTCTTCCGGGAGTCTCTTCTATACATATTAATTTCACATCATTTGCTTATTCACTTACATATTCCTTTACTTATTACTCAACCCAATTCATCGAGTTCCTCCAGTCATCTCCTCCAGTCCATCTATGTATGTAAGTCTTCCATCTCACCCCGGGGGGTACTCAGATTTGGTTTGGACGGGGGTGTGCCACCCAAGCCTCGAAACCCCTAACCATTATTAGGGAGCATTTGGGCGCATTTTTCTCGTAAAAAGACCCATCTTTCACAGTTTTGGGGTGTTTTTCGGGTGTTTGCAAGTTTTCGATTTTTTTTGGTTAAAAGTGGGACCCATGTTTAGGGATTTTGGATGAAAAAAGTGACCCATTCGAGCGACACACCCCCCCCCCGTATGTCATTATATGTGAGGTGAGTACCCCCCCCCCCCCAACCCGGGATTTCAACTTAATTTTTGTTTGTCCTTGCCATGTACAGAAATAGTATCTACGTAAATAAATTAACATTGTGGTTGTACAAGGTAAAGAAATTCTTATAATTGTTATGTTGACATCAATGTATTATTGTGACTATCGAGTATTTTGTATGCACTTAAGTGAAGTAAAGAATGATTTTGATACATTTTACATTCAGGATAATATCTTCTGAACTTTTTGAACTATATAGTATACCGAAAATAGTCATGAACTACTTGTAGGACAGTGTCACACTGATAGGCCTACCTATGAATTAAAAATGTCATCACCACGTATCACGTTGTCATAATAATACTTCCATAATTCAGATTTCCAACTGTGTGTGTGATTTTTTTTTGTAACAAAATTAAACAGACAATTTTCTTTTCTTCCTCTTTTTTTTGGGGGGGGGGGGGAATGGAAACAAAATTATATCAGTTATACAAGATTATTTGTTGTTGGTTGTAAATAACTATCATTTTGCTCGCCTGAAAACTCTAAAACATTTTGATGCACTAATTTATTTTTCTTTTGTAGATAGAAACATAATAAAACCAAGCAAACGATACCTACAACAAAATTAATGTGGCCTATTTTTTTATCACTTTACACTGGTGGCAGCGGTGTTTCTACGTTTTACCCAAACATTTCGGACCACCTACGCCATGTTTACTGAATATTTGCTGCCGACACTCACTTGTTTCATGCACTGCTGCTTTGCTTTCACCCTTCATCTGTAGGTCTTGATCCTACATCGACTAGGTGTGAATTTGCAAGCTTTATTTCATCCTACTTCACCTCTCCTTAGAAGTCAGAGATAGCTACATATCGGTTTCGATATATAACCTTACATCATTTTGGTGTGTTACTGTTAGCTCTGCTATTATCATAATTTGTCAGCCAGGTGCGTTTTTGTGGCTGTTGCTTAAGGGTGTGCTGATAAATAATATTTTAAAAATGCTCCCCCCCCCCCCCCCCCCCACTGTGCGGAATATCGGCACGATCGGCACGATTTTCCAATTTCGGGGGACAACAAAAAGAAAAAATATTATTGCTCACTACCCCCCCCCCCCCCCTCCCACTCCCCCGAGTTTAAGGTGGCCCCCTCCAGGCGTGGATCCACGGGGGGGGGGGGGGCGACGGCAAAAAAAAAAAAGGTTAAAAAAAAGATAGTTAAACGTAAATTTTACCCCCCCCCCCCCCTCCTGGCAAGGTCAAGGGAGGTGGGTAGGTGTTGAGAAAAAAAAGGAGTGTTCACTCCCCCCCCCCCCCAACACTATTCTCCGGCTGGCTGATTCACCGCTAATAGTTTTCTCATGAATTGGGCCAACAACAACAACAACAACAACAAAAATAGTGCATCTGGTCTTGGAAACGCATCGAAGACCGTTGTAATCACACCGAGAAGACCGACAC